GTGACCTCTATCTAGCAAGGTTATAGTTATAGCTGGACTGATGTCTTAAGATTTGTGCTGAAGTACACAAGAATGGAAATTGCAGTATAAGAAGCATCCTAAAATATCATAAAAGAGGTGATATGACTTGCCTCTCAAGTTGAAACGGTCAAAGGGTGCTGTAGGAGTGTTTTAAATGTCGATTCAGGTCAGGTGTCCACAACTATGATTCCTCAGGAACCAGATGTTCTCTGCTGTTCTTATTAAAATGTATTACTTAATTTTAAACAAATGTTTTAAACTAGCTTAATGGTAATGCTCAATGTTTCAAATATTAAAACAATAGTAACGCTCAATGTTTCAAATATTCAAAGAACTGAGCTTGGACCAACCAGACAGATGAGGTTGGAAGTGAAATAAATTCTGGAGTGATGAAATTACTTTGGACAACTTAATGAAAAAAAATGCTGAGATCCCAGTGAGCCATTAAATGATGGATTTACACATGGAAGCACCCATCTCCTCTGACAAGTCTTTGACAAAACTGTTTCTGTATTTTCATGTGGAATGGTTCTTGAGCAAAAGATTAGAAAGACTGAGGGAGAAAGGGACAGCCCAACTGACAGGAGAAAATACGTTGAAAAAGAAGACTGAAGTTCTTGTGCATTCATTAAACATAAAGGTAGCTTGCTTAATTAAACATAAAGGTAGACACTTAATATTCAGGCTAAGTTACTGGTAAATTATATAGGAACACAAATACTTTAAAGTTTTCCAGTAGATAATTTAACATTTCCTTTTGATGGTTGTCTTTAAGTCCTGATGTTACAAGTAGGTTCATGGCAAAACATTAAAACTAATTTCCCCAAGATCACCAAGAAACTACCTTTTGTTAATTTGGTGCTCTGAGGTTCTGTTAGAACTTGGAAACGACATTGGTCAGCATCAGGCCGCGAGTGGCCTCCCCAAGGGCTCCGAAGGGAGCTGTTGACTCAGCCAAGCTACCAATGCGATCGTGGCTGAATATGGAGGACTCCTTGCAAAGCTGGTAAACTATTGTAACAGTCAACTGTTGCCATATGCAAAAGATGAATTTAAAATGTTAATGCACTAAATGCCATGCCACTTTAATTATTTTTGTAGCTAAGTCTCCTCAGCTCTAGTCTTTCTTAAAATATTGAAAGACTGTGCTAATATCCCCACAGCCACTGTCATACTCTGGTTCCTTTCTCAGCTGCTTTTTGTTTCATTCGTGACTTCTGAAGTCTAAAATACTCTAAAGATTTCTAAAATGAGTGTAATGATTCCAAAGTGAAAAGTTTGACTTTTGTTTTCTTTAAATCCTTAGAGATACCTATCTAAATCCTTTCCCCAGCTGTCTCAGACTACATTATTTCCCTCCAGTCACATCATAGAGTCCACCTCTGAAGCGCTCTGGTTACGGCCAAGATAAGCGAGTTCAGATCAGTACAATCTGTTTTCCAAAGGCCGGTGTTCAGAGCCAGCTGTTGATTGTGCTGTTGGCAAAGGACAAGAGCCTGACAAAGTCTGTGTTCACTCTAGGAAGCACAGACTCTCTTTTCTTCCTACTGAGCCCCTTTGGAAAGGGTAAGACCAGTTGGCTCTTAATGCTCTCCCAAGCAGAGCCAAGACTGCAGAGGTGGGAGCTGGTAAATCCTTGCTGGTTGAAGCCAACAGTTAACTCTTTGCCTGGGAGCAGACAGAAATAAAGGCTTGACTCAGTTTTCTTAGGGCACACGCTGGTTAAGTCTGTAATGGGAATGTACAAATTAACTCTGAAAATTGGAATATGTATGCATTGGGGCTAATTAAAATGAACCCCTGATTCGGGAAGCTCTCGTTCCATGGACCATAGGGTCTAGCTGGGTTTTGCCACACGCTACCAAATTGTGTCCGCTTCTGAAGTAATCATGCCAAGAAAGAAAACAGCATAGTAGTACCCATTGTACAGGTCCACAGCTTTCATTCAGTTCCGTGGCTTCAATAGCAGAATTAATTGCAAAATAAAATGCATTAAATTGGATTAATTAACAGTACATTTCAAGGTCCTGAAATATAGATCTAGCCACGGGGTAAATGCACAATGCAGGTTTTTCCTGCAAACAGAACAAGGGCTATTTTTGGAGCTGTATTTGTATCTCACTGAGGTGTGCCTTGCTTAAAAAGCTGCTAGGATAAGAAATGGGGCTTTGAAGGGGAAGATAAATACTATAATTAGGGCTGCAAGACAACAAAAGGATTATTCTTAAATATAAAATCATTTGACTGAAGTGGCTTGAAAGATAATTATACCTAAAATTGCTTGCATGCGTCTAATATTTTCTTTACAAGGACTTACAAGACTCATCGAATATTTATGGGCCTGGAACATAAGACTGGATGAAATTTAAAACATAAATTCAATAGCAATTTACTATGATGAAATTCCCTAGCAGTTGTTGCCCCAACCTTTTAGCCTTAATAGACAGGCTTCATGTTGCAGAACACAAGCCCACGTGATAAATGATATCAAAGCTGAATGACCTTGATTGATGAATGCTGCTTCGTTTGATGACTGCAAAACAGTCCTGAGGGCTGATCTCACCACTATTTTTGTGTTGTTTTCTTCTTTTTTTTTTTTTTTCCCCCCCTCTTAATGCATATATTGCAGAAGGGTTGTTTGTGCTTCTGGTATGGTTATCACATGCAAATGAGCATGCTGTTTCCCAGATGCAGATTTCATATTTATAGATTAAATACAGCCCGAAAAAATCATATGTTAATTACATTCTGAGGGTGTAGCAGAATTTCTCGCTTGAGCATGTTTTTGTTTTGCTGGAAATAGCACAAATTCCAGATCAATGTATGCAGTTGTTTGAAGCTTGGTAATAAATATATCACACTTTAGAAAAAACGATTTCTAATCATTACTATTATTAAATAATTTACTATTAGCTCATTGCTTAGACTTATTTCCCACATTATGTATCTTTGTTTGTTTTGAATAATCTGCATTTCTCAGCAGACAGCCAATACTATAGGAAGGGTGGTGGGGGAAGGCGTAAGGATCAGGCAAACATGCAGATTATCCGCAACACACGGGCAGAGGAGATCTGTGAGATGTTTTGTGAGGAAGGGGGCTCCCTGTGCTCAGCTCGGTTCCCCACTGCCTCGGCTGGAGAGCCCCAGGATAAAAGCTGTCGGGGGCTGCTGGCACTGGTGGCAATCAGCAGTCACCATGGCGGAGGAGGAGCAGCTGTGCCAAGGGGGAGGAGAGGCTGGGCCAGGTGATTCAAATGGACCATTCGTGGTGTTCGCTATAAGAGACCCTAAGAAGAGCCTTTAGTGCCTGCTGTGCTGGGGGGATTGCTGCTGGCTGTTCCTCATCTCTCCCTGTGCTGCTGGGCTTCCTGTTTTCACATCACAGAGGAGCACCGTGTGTCAGGACAGGTTGTTTTCACTGCCTTTCTGGGTGAGAGTGGCACAGTTCCTTTTCTCTTCGGGTGGTTTTGTTTTTTGATTTTCATTGGGACTCTTTGACAGCTATAAACGTTTTGTGGGGCTTTTTTCTACTGCCTATTGATGTCCCCAATCAGGTACATCGTGCTGAAAATCTGTGGTGTAGGGGTTCCTCCTCTAGTGTATAGCTTGCTAGAGCCAAAGGAGTTGCTGCAATGCCATGAAAGCCCTCAACACAGGCTGGTAAGGGAAGCGTCCAAAAAATGGGGCTCTTCCTGAGACAGCAGGAAAAACCCACCAGGCTGAGTCTGTTGCAGATTTAGAAACTGTTCAGCAGTAGATGTTGACTGGTGGCTTCTAAACTGAGAGCTAGTGCAGATGTACTTACATGTGCCAAGATGTCAAAGGATACATCAGAAATATTTAGGAAAAATGTGCTCAGAAGGCAGAGTGGCAAGTCTTGGATTCCAACGCAGGCCAGTTTTGCCCTTGAGGATTATGCTACTGAAGGCAACGCTGAGCAGAAACCAGTTACAATAAAAGAAAGGGAGAATTTTGGAGAAATCGATAAACGCCATTCAAATTACTTTCTTGTTTACTGTCCCAACAGTTGCAAAACATCACAAATTAAGAAGAAAGGTTAAATACACACTGAACTTCATTATTACAAAGAAAAGCCTGACAACAACCATTCAAATAAATATAAAATTTTTCACTGATTCTCAGGCAGCGAGGATCAAGCCTATAGAAAGTAAATAGAACACCTTCAGAAAAAGTAGTTAAAAGTGCACGTCTTTTTTTTCATCCCTTTGTGTTTTTTTTCTCTAAAACCAAGTCCTTTGGTGACCAACTATGATTCAAAGATATTGCCGTAATCACTGGGCTGGCAAGAATTATTGGTATGGACTTCCAGCACAGATAAGTCTCACTTTAAAACGGCCTGCTGCAGTATATTCAAGTATATCCTGAAAGCCACAAATGAGAACAAATCATACAAAAATATACCGTAAACTGAAAATACTTTCCCCTCCCCTTCATCCTTTTTACAGCTCTCGTAAATCTTTTAGTAAATAAGTAAATCACAGAGGTACCAAAAGAACTGGAGAACTAAGAGGTAGCTTACGTAACAAAGCATCTCTGTGTGCAAGCACATCTTGCTGCTGCTGCGGGCAGCACTGAGCAGTTCGAGACTGTGAAGTCGCTGTTGGGTGCGGTGCCAGCCTTCCTGCTCTAGTCCCAGACCCAAGAGAAAATGCAGGCAGAGGATTGAGCTTTTGCAGTTTGGCCGTATCAGCTCATCTGAAAGCCACGTGGGTCTTAGAGGGCAGTGCAAGACCTGCCCTACACTCTTCACCTCCCCCAGGCATTAATGCTGTTTGTTTTTTGTCCCCCTGCTCATTATGCAATCAATAGGTTTGTTGATCTTTCAGTCTTCAGAAAGCTTTCATCTTAATAATTTTACACTGTGTTTATATAGCTAATCTTGGCTTCATGAACATAATGTGCATGTCACACGTGCCTGAATACATTCAGATTGGTAGAACTGGAAAAAAAACCCCTACTACTGCAGTTTGATTAGGATGCAACATGATCAGAATACTTGATGTAGGCTCTGCGTGGTGGAGTGCTCCACTGTGCACAAGAAATCATCCTCCCTTTGAGGCCTTACAACAATAAAAAAATTTGTGTCTGCTCTAGAAGTATATTTATCTTATGTGATCTTTCAAAATGGTCTGTGATGAATTGGCACACTAGAGACAGTGTGCTGAATTAGATAAATTTGATAGCTTGAAGTAGCAGACAACTCCTGTGATGTTGGTATGTTTGAATAGAATAATAATGCATGTCTTACTTTCTCTTCTAAAAAGAAGCCATGAGAAACTCTAATTACGTATCCATTGTTAAAGCACTCTATGTAGACTGCTGGTTATCGACTGTAGTCCTGCAATTCACTGGAGCCTTAGGACAAGATTCTGATAGGTTTTCCTTTCACTTTCCCATGAATGATGTTTCTTCACATTGTCTTTGGCCCTTGTTACAATTTCTCTTTCAATAATGGGGTCATTCATCAAACTCTTAGACAGCACAACAAACTCCTAAAAAAAGATAAAGTAAACAATGAATTATAAGTTCCTTGAAGTTATAACGATACCAAAACAGTTTGTACCCATATCTTGATTTTTGGTAAAGCGCTTCAACTGTAAGCCAATATATCTAGCTATTTAAAGCAATTTTTCAAGGTCAAGTACCATAATTTATTTATAAACAATGACAAATAAAAAAATAATTTTATACATTATTTTATGCAGGTCACTAACTAAGACATTTAAAATCAAAGGTAATCTCAAAAGCATTAAGACAATTATGAGCAACAAATGTAATGACACAGAAATTGTCTGCCTACCCAAGTATTAGAAAACCAGGCTGGTTATAAAGTAAATAATTCACCTAGCCTCGTGCATGGAGGACAACTGGCACCAGGTCTCAGCTCAGCTAAACTCTCATTGCTCCAGTGACATCTCTAGTCAATTTTATGGTAAGATTACAAAACTCACTACATAAATATAGTCACAAAATAAAGACAAAAGCAGGCATGCAGCAACAAGCTCTTCCGGAGTAGCTATATCTGGGCAAAAAGCTCTGCAAAAAAACCATATATGGATTGCTTTTAACTTCACTGGGCAAAATACTGAACCTCACAGATTACAACAATTCCTTTTCCTGATCCTCTGCCACTCTAGTTCTAGGGAAGAGAAATTGTGAACTTCACACATGTGAAGGGAGATTTGATTTCTGAACTAATCTATTCAGAGCAGCTGATCTAATTTTCTACCAAGAGACAACTTCCAATACTTCAGCTTGATTACAAATGTGCTCAGATCTCTGCAAAGTAGTGTCTTGGTTCAGCTCAGAAAAGCAGATAGCTGTTATGTCAAAGGAAAATTAAGATAATGCATTACTACACAATTGGTAGCAAAGACCAACGCACAGGGACATAGAGGACAAAAAGGATGCGAGAAGGAGATAGATTATTTACACAATCTGTCAGCTATGAAATGAACTATCACAATTAAGACCAGAGTTCCTATCAGCTCTAGGGTAACTAGTAAATTATACTTGAAAACCTAAGTACACAGTGTGTACAAATACATCCACTGATATGAAATCACTGGTTACCTCAGAATCAATGTTGCTGTTGTAATGCAAGCGATGGCTATGCATAATACATAACTGTAACTATAGCGTGACCCCTGGGAAACACTGATATGTGAAATCATATTGAACACGTTATAATCACTGTTCTGACTCTCACTGACAAGACAAACTATCAATATATGCATCACTGCCATGAAATTTAAATAGTGATGCACATCACTACTGTTGGAAAGGTTTGTAACTAGGTAATAGAATAAGGTGATTTTCACATATGCGTATTAACAGTAACCTCTTATTTTACATAAAATCAGTAGCGCTTGTAATCTTGGCTCTGGCCACACAGCACTGAAACAGCAGCCTCTGGAATAGCCACGAGGGCCACACGCTTGTACCAGCCTGCTCTCCAGCCACCACCACCACGTGTTCAGGCACTGGCTAATTTAAGGAGCGTATTTAGTTCCTAACTCGGGACCAGGTCTGAAGAGGCTCTTTTCTCCCTGAAGAGGAGAGGTGGGTCTGGTCTGGAGAGTACCCTGAGGCTGCATCTATCAGACACTTGCAGAGACAGCCAAGGGCTCCAACTTTAGAGACACATTCTTCTCCTTCCTCCGTATCTGCCAAGAATACAGAACAGGGAAGGTGGGAAAGTCTTACATGACTTATGCTGGCTTCATCCAATTGCCTGTATAATCACAGTAATAAATACTGTTCACACTGAACTACATTCCAACTTTAATTTTATGCTCCTGTGGAGGATTTTATTTAAAGAAATGTTTAAAAATAATTTATGTAAATTACCTACGAACAGAAGCAGCAATGTAACATTTCTTGACAGGTAGTCCTATTAGCATTCTTTTAAAACGTGGATATAGAGGACAAAAACTTGGAAACATGTAAATGATAGAAGAAATGAGCTCTTTATTCACAGTTATAATATTTAATGCTAGGGATAATTTCAGGAAAATGCCAAACTGAGTCCAAAGCAGAAAAGTTGAGAAACTGCAAGAGAGAGAAAAAGCAAATGGAAAAATACCAGGAGATGAGCAATAAGGACTTCTCAGCTTTATCCCTACTTCTTCTACTAATCAAATGTGACCACCTACAAGTCACTTGCAATCTGACTGGAAGCCAAAGGGAACATTCACTATGATTTATCTGGGTTTTGCCTCATGCCCTTCAAGCAGCTGGCTTAGCCTGTTTTCGGTTTTGGACGCTCAGTTTTAGATAGCAATAACTTCATTTTTCAGGTGTCTCCCTTAACTTCAACTTACTTGCATTTCAGTTGTAGTTTTGTGGGAAGCCTGACGCATGGGCTCCCACTTGCAGAATGCAGACATTCCGAGCTCAGCAGAGCAAGCATTTAACTTTTCTTTTCTAGAAGCCTGTGTCATACAAACTACTTACGGTGTGGTAACATGTCTCTTTATCAGCTGCTGTGCTCTAAGTATTTGTGCAAGTGATACTTGCACGATGTTTGTGCACCTTGATATTTTGCTGTAGAAGTGAAGTAAGCTTCACTTTTGGTTAAAAACGGGCAAAACTGACAAATTACTTTTCAATTATCAAACAGAATAGCCAAAATGAATGTGATATACATGCTAATTTACTACTGGGTGGGATATACATGGTTCTAATAAGCCTTTCTTTCGCATACAGGAACTGGTATAATTACTATACATGTCACAGAAAAACAGTGTAAAAGTTGAACCTCAATTGTTAGCTACAACTCATAAAAAACAGGGGAGAAGGTAATCTTGTGTACATCCAGAACTGGTACTACACATGCCCTTTTTATGCATTTTTAAGGCATTTTTTTTCAACAGCAACATCCATAATACATTTTTTTTCCTGGTAAATTGACCAATCATCTTTAAAGAAAATGTCAGGTTCTCTATATAGTAGGTAAAAGAAAATCTGTATAATGTTTTTCAGAGACCCAGAAATACAGGTATGTGGGAGATAAAGCTAGAAAATGGGTGCAGCAAGTAAAAACATTCCTTCAGTTACCACAAGAACTGCACCGGTGCTGCAGCTCACGCATAATGAAAACAAGATGCACGGTTAATATATTATTTATATAAGGAAAGTAAGTCTGCAATTAAACCATTTCATATCAGCTTCAGCAGATAAAGGAACATGATTCTTAAACAACAGAGAATCACCCCAGGGAAGGCGAACGCCAGATGTCAATTCAGACCAGCGGCAGATCTACCTAGTGGCAGGCAAAGCTCAGAAGTTAGCTGGCATGTTTGCGTGCTTCCCAGGGCAACAGGCCAGTGTTTCTAGTGGAGTGCAAACAGTGATTGCTGGCACTGTCAAAAAATGGCAAATTAGTCTAAAGGTCTAATGGCAAAGGTCTAAAAACTTGGGCTACATTCTGGCTGGAAGCCCCGGTAGAAATGGCATTGACCCGGGTTTGGCAGAAGAGACCAACGTGCCTGCACTGGCGGCTGCCCACGCTCAGCTCTCTTACCGCTGCAAAAGTGGTGTCTGCTCACAGCGCTCTCTCCAGGTCCTGCTCTCTCTCAAACTCTGTTTATGCTTGGCCCCCTCTTACTGGCTTTGAAGTTTATTTACCTCCTGTTTACTTAGCTCCTTCCTGAGCTTTTACAGATGCTGAACATATAATTCTGAAACTCAAGATGCTGAGTAACTCTTTGTGTCTTCCCTTTTAACATGGTTTTGCATTATTTATTGCCCTATTATTATCTCTTAATTTTATTTCAAGGCCCATTAACTCAGTGTCAAATAATCCATAAACTTGCAAATTCAAGTAGTGGCAGGTTCAAACCATGATTTAAAAGTAACGTGCACAGATGATGTAATATCAAGGACAAAATATTTCATAGTTTTCACTTTTACAGTAATTATTTCCATCTGAGCATTGTCTTCAGTGACTGGCAAGGCCTTAGCTATTTCCAGTCATAAAGCCTCAGCCGAAATTATGCAAGTAGTTAATGACAGCTACAATTAGGCACAAAATTTCCTACTTTTCTGTAAGCCACAGAAGCTCACTTTCAGCAAGAGTAAAAGAAGAAAACCAACAGCTTTCACAATTTAAAACAATTCTCATTGTTTAACGGTCGATTTTTATCCCTCCAGCTTAGCTTTCAAAAGAGACGATGGTCCACAGACCAGACACAATTGCTCATATCTAGAGCTAACCTCATTGTAAAGTTTTCCCTTCCCAGCCCAGTAACATCTCGAAAATAAACAATGTTTTCTACTCTTGACTTATGACACAGTCTGTACCATCATAACCAGATAAGATCCGCTAAACTTAGCAATGATTTTTCTTTGACATTTTCTAATCTTTGGTTGTCCAGATTCTTTAAGACAGAGACAGACTTTCCCAAGCACTTGAATAAAGTACTAACCTCTCTGTATGATTAAAAGCATATTCTCTAATTAACTTGATGCAATTAAGGTTACAGCAGAAAATAGTTTACCAGATACTTAAGATGGCAAAGTAATCAGAGTAACAAAACCGTGAAAACATTCCCAGAATATATGTTTTCTGATTTCTACTGTTAGACGGAATCTAAGGCAGGATTCACGGTGCTGTGGGCAGACTGTTCCTTCTGACAATAAAAATACGAGACGTATCTTGAAACTGTAAGTGTTCTACCTTAATTGCATTTCTTTGATCTAACATAACTCTCAGCTTCTGATAGACTGTGTACGGTGGTTTAAAAACTGTATTTGATGTACTTTGGGGATAAAGAACAAGAGGAAATGATGATTGGCATTCTGAGCTCATCTCTACAAGAAGAAAGTTTTTGCAACAATTATACAGTGGGATTAGAGTATTAACCTGTAAAGAATATTTTCCTGACCCATTTGCAAACTTTTATAGTGTATACATTATTTAACAGCAATGAAAGTATAGAAGGGCTTTTATTAAATGAGATGCAGTTGCCATTTTAGAGAGAACAGGGATTCTTTTCTGAGACAGGGTAAGTGCACAAACATTAGTAATTCCAGTACAAACATTACCTAGGAGCATGATAGCTAATATGGTAATGCAAGTTACCATCTTCACTTAAAAGAGATTCTGTGGACTTCTGAGACAGAATAATAGCAAAAAGGGGGTCAAGCACATTGCAGAGAAGGGAGCTCAGAAAGAAAGGGTTATGTAAACTAAGATTATAGACTTCCAAACTGTGTCTCTAGTCCTGATATGAAAGAAAGTCCTTAGCCACTTGTGCGGTTTCACTGATGTCATTGGGACTGCTTCTGTGCTAAAAATTCCTCTAAGTGAGGAAATACATAGCTTATTTTTAATTGATCTTGAATTAAAAATAAGCTATTGGAATGTAGGATGCTTAGAGATCACAGAAGATGCTTCTTAGAGGGATGTATGATGAAGCTAACTTGGTCCGGTATGAATAATGTATCTGAACTCCAAGGCAAACGTAACTGGCATGTTGAGGGAAATATTCGAATGTATCAGAATTAATATCAGGAGCCATCCATCTATGTGTTCAGCATGACCATGTATCCTTGAAGTTTTGAAGAAGCATATGAAAGTCAGTGGGCTTTTTGCAGGGAATATACATACAAATAATGCTATAAATAGCATTACGTCTCAGCCTCCACTAGCCTGGGACTACACTATTTCCAAAGAATATTGCAAGAAGAAGGATACTTCCACAGCAAAGCAAACTCCAGAAGTTAACAAAGAATTTTTTTTTTGTAGCAACCACTAGAAACATCGAGTATTCCAGGAAAAAAAATACAACAACCAACAACCAAACCATGAGCTGCACAAATTTTTCTGTTAAGAATACCCTCTAAAACTGAGAGGATTCACCTTCCTGAAACACAACTTAATACAAGGCATTAATCATACACTCCACAAAGGAAGTAAATAAGATAGATTTTCTACTTCGTAAAATTATCAACTGGACTATTCTAGTAAGGTTTTTTTAATCTCGACAGACACTGAGGGAATCTGTGTCTGAAAGTCATCTTCCACAACACAGATGACTATGTAACTCCAAAGCCATAATGCAGTAAAATATACTGAAATGAAAATTTCTGACATCTAAGTATGGGTAGCGTTCTGTCCCTCCCCGGTCTTACTTATCTCCTCAGAAACTTCATTCTAACACTTAATTTAAGTCATTAATTATTTTCTGACTGAGGAATATTTTGGACACAGTAATGCTTTATATTAACACTTAACCACTAGAAATTTTAGATAATGTATTATCTAAAATTTCAGGCTCATAGATGTCTTTTGGTTAGCTACTGCTTGTCTAGCATGAGTTTCTACTTTACTGAGTACTTGAAGGAACATCCAACACATGCATAGCATCTCTTTGAGGGTTTGTTTATGGAACCTTCAAATCTAAGATGTAACAAGTTGCTGAGAACAGAGCCCCACTCCCGATGGCAGCTCTGAAGCAGCACAGGCTGGGCAAACATTCAGCAAGGCTGACACCTAGTAAATGTGTAGTGAACTGCAAAACGAACGTGAGAACAGCAGAGCTTCCAGAAAGGCAGTCTAACCCCGAGGTTTTTAGGAGAATCTGAGAAAAACTGCCAAGAGGAAAAGCCAAGTTTCTAGACAGACACAAAAAATGTAATGGAAAATGAACCTAATCTTTGGAAGGGAAAGGTCTAAGGATTTGTTGTTTTCTTACCTGGGGATTTGAAAATAGGAGTCCTGTTTCTTTATGTTTTATTATTGCTGCATTCCCAGGAATGTTCCTTGCCAGCACTGGAATACCTAAATCCATTGCCTAGAGGAATATGGAGAAAGGAAACAACAGTTTATTAGGATTCGGGCATTTTGAGATGTTAATGATGACCATTTTAAAATGAAAAGCAGAAACAACAAACCAAGCTTCATTACCTTCACTCCAATTTTTCAGTAGAAAAATACCACATCTAAGGTGACCTCCTATATGGAGCTTCTCTGAAATATTCAGTTTATATTTTCGTTAGTCTTATTACTTTGAACATATTACCAGAAGCAATTAATCCAGAAAGTCAATGGATAGCTGCTTCATCCTCTATTCCTTTCCATCTCAAATACATATTTTGTTTCCTATCGGAAGCTCCTGACATATGGCAGGCTTGAAAAGGATAAAATTAATGTTCAGAACAAAGGTTGTCACTGTAACTTCTACTGTTATTGTGCATAGATGAAAAGATTAGTTCATAGAACTAAAAGCCATTTCTCCTCAAGAAAGTATCTGTTCTCTCATTCCATTAAAGCACATTTTTCACCCATTTTCTGTAACTGGAAAGATGTGGGCAGCTCAATGACAGTGAAGGTGGCCACGGCAATCGCTTGGTTCTTTCTGCTCAGTTCTGACTCCTGTGGGTCATGTGGGACTCTGGAAGGAGTTTTCTTTTGACCGCATGTGTTCCTACAGCCTGTCTTGGACTGTGAGCGTTCAGGGACTGCAGGGAAGTACGCAGTGATGCGTCTTCTGACTAAAACTATACCAAGGAGAGGAGAGAAAAGGTTATGCTTTCAGAACACGTTATGCTTTCAAAACTTATTATCTGCAAAGCTATTGGTATGGGACTCCTTAAAGACCAAGGAATACAGCTGAAGAAGTAGAATTTAATTCCATGTAAACTACAGGCTGGTTGCTTGATGCATGTATGCATTTATTTATTTATTTGTCTGTCTGTGTATGTGTGTGTGCATGCATGTATATACATAAAAAAAAGGAAGTGTGGGGTCTCAGCATTTCAGTCTGCCTGCAGAATCAGGAGCAGGAACACAGCACAGCAGCCCTTCAAAGCTGGTAAGCCATTTCCAAGAGACCTAATGCCTGGCAACTTGAAAAAAATACGATTTGATTTTGAAGAAACTACTGTGCAAACCCTGGCCACTCAACTCTGTTACTCATGCATATTCTGATCTGAAACTTTAATTACTATTGATGATTCGGAAGTCTTGAGATGCACTGACTGCAAAACTCATATTGTACAATTATCACAGTGTCAAACAGGAGAAAGAAATTCATTTCCCCAAATCTTCAATCTGTTTCATACTGATTCCCTGTCACTTCAGAGTGAATGCATTTTTAATTACTGTCATTACACTCCCGGATGGGGAGCAATTTTGCTTCAGCCTGCATAGCAAGAAAACAAAACTCCAAGGAGAAAACCACGCTTTTTTATAGTTTGGAGAAAACTGAGGACAAAAATACCCTGACTGATAACATACAGAATGAAATACGTTTTGAACAGTGAGGGGCTGCTGTGACTTAGCAACATATCTTAATAGCTTAAAATATCCAAGAGAAATAGTGTTTAAATCACCACTGCAGATGAATTTACTCTGGACTTAGAAATTTTATAGTCCCTGGCACAAACATCTTCTTTGCAGTAGTTAGCTCTAAAAATAATAATAACCCTTAATTAAATAACCTGTTCTAGACATTGTATCAGAAACTACTGAATCAGCTGGAGGTAATTCAGACAAATAGACTAATGAAGTGAATATGAACATGAACAAATAACCGAGAAATGAAAACTACAGACTAGATCTCTGAACTTACCTAAGTGTTGCTGATATACAGCTTTTTTTAAAATAAAAAACCAGGTCATTTTGGTGAGAGGAAGTACAGTTTTTGGTCATCCACAAATTATTTTGTCGTTTGCACATACTTTACTATTAAACATGACAAATCTGTTTTCCAAAGGTATATTAACAAAAACATAGGGTGACAGTATTTACTGATCAGTACAGCAAAGTTCACAGAACTTCAAAGTTCACCCAGGAAATGAGAGGTATCAGTGCCTCACTTTGCCTGACAGGTTTTGAACGTGCAGTTTGAGGAAGTTGCTTTTGGCTCTAATTACCCAACCATCGACCTGACACCGGGTTTCCACGGAAGCATCAAGATCTCAGAGAGACAGAATTTCTGATTCAGCTCTTTTTCAGCCCTTCCTGTTGACAGGCTTAAATGCCGTCGTGTTCAGTCTGCTGGCTGCTGACCTCATTCGAACACGTTCAATGAACCGGGAATGGAGATATTTTTTGTGAACTTCTGAACTGAAGAGCGAGAGCTCGATAGCAGCAGTGAAATGTGTCAGCTTTCATTGTCACCTGTCTAAGGCCCTCTCCTCATCCCTCTGTATCTCTCCTTTGAAAAAACAAATTCATAAGAGTATTACAGGTTTATCTACTTCTCAAACAACTGTCCATTCAAGGTGAAGAGAACCATTACAGAAAAAAACAAAAAGAAAGAACACACACAAAACACAGCTCATTAAGAAAAAAAAAATAAAATCTCAAGATACATTCATTCACTTCTATTTCTGAATGCTCCATAGTTGGTGATTCATTGATCACTAAGTTTGTATTTCATTTGCCATAATTCCTGAATTCTAAAGGGAAAGACATTTGCTCTGTCTTGTAGCAGTTGGAGGCCAGTAACTGCTACGTAAGAAAACTTTCAAGTCCCAAAACACACAGGTACCAATGAATTATAGCTGCTGAAAGGCAGAACAGATGGCCAAACACATAAAATGAGGGGCTGCCTTTATACCAGCTAGCCTTAAACAAATGGATTTGGCTGTAAATAATTACTGCATGAAGTGGCTTAGAATTCAATTTAGATCCTTAGTCTATTTTTAAGCACTAAAAAGAATCATTTGCATTGTTGACAATATGTATCATTTACTGACCTATGTTCCACAAATAATTGAATAAAATAACATTTCAGTCCATTGGCCATCTGTTTTGTTACACTATTCTGACTGCAAATGTATTTTAAAGCTATTTCAGAAGGATGATGAGTGTAAATTTCAGCTTTGGAAACATGTTACACAATAAGCATTTCTAACCATCAGTATAACACTTATAGAGTAAATACAGATTTTAGTTACTATTTTCTCTTCTGGATTGTCTCTCATTTTCTTCTTTCAAGCTTACGCATCTTTTGGTTGGCCATCGTCCTGACAGCACACAAAAAGTACTCTGAAGAATTGGTGCTTGACTCAAAACCTTTTTCTTACCAACCCTACACAGAACATATAAAATTTCCCAGCAGTAGTGCCTTTTTCACCATCACATGTCCAGGAACATACAGAACTCCTGAGCTTTCTGAGGAATAGATGTACTTTAATTGATTGCTATAATATTTGTTCTCTCTTCTTCAAAAACCAAAGAGAAAATAGATCAGTTACGGCAAATCTCTGAGATATAAATACTAGATGACAAAGCAATTAGTTATGGCTTCTAGTTCTTTCATACCTTAAGGCACATTGAAATATATATGACTATATATTTATCTATTATACATTTATCATCTCATACTAAAATATTGTTTACAGATTCATGAACTTGTTAAATTTTGAACTTTCAGGAGAATGAAAGTTGCATTTCCAAATTCAAGCAGGATGTTATCTCCCGCGTAAGACCCAAAGATTTCTATACATAGTTTTCTGCCTTATTAATTTAACAAGATCTTAACAGATGGCCTTTCCTACTGCTGGCCATCTCAAGCAGGGACTTGACTTTATTAGACTGACATTTCCTCTGAGACAGGCATTTTTACAGCAGGATATTTTATAAGCATGTCATCAAATCCCATTGTACAACTGTCTAATAAACAGACATACAATACCAAAACTCTCACAACTTTAGAAGACAATTCAAACAGGTCTGAGGTACAACAAAGGGCATGCCTCAGTAATTTCTCAGGAGATAACTAAAGACCAAATTCTGTTTGTAGAAAATCCTGACTCAGCTGGGACCGGACCTGTTGTTTCACATGACCTGTGCCATGTCTATTGGACTTTCCTTCTTATAACGCAAGATTTCAGTTTGCACCTCTAATTGCTGTCACATTTGCTTGTAACCAGAATGCACCTGAAATAGCATGCTTAGGCTTCTGAAGGCATGCCAGCTCTTTTTACCCCTGTTCTGTGACTCCAGGTTATGAGTTATAGGTTCAGAGATTAAGCTGTCCTCCCTCCACTGTTCAACAACAAGGAAATATAGGACTGAAGCTGGCGGAGAAAAGTGGGTTACACCTGTGGTTATAGATTTTTCCAAGAGAATCTTCAGAATATTTGAAATTGCAACTTGATCTTCAACACGTGATTATACATGAATACACACCAAACCTGACTACTAGGTCTGACATTATCCCACCAATGTAATAGAAGAAAAAAAGACCGGGACCTTTTTCTCTTCTTTTTAGGAAATGGTTATCACACACAAGAAAATAACTAACAGCCCACTGCAGGTCAAGTCTTGCACTTAGAAGCGAGACTTTAATTTTTCCACTATGGTCAATTGCCAGTTTATTTCAGCATGTTTAGCTGTTAAAACTCAGATTATAGACTTAAAGGTGTATTAAATGTTGATTAACTTTGTGTTTAGTAAAATTATTGTCTTTAGTAGAATTAAATGTGTCAATCATAAGACTAGCCCAGGACGTGATATGCACAGCTACATGTACGAGAGAAAAAAAGTAATACTAATCAATCTACTATATGTGTACAAAAATATATATGTATAAAATAAAATTCAGCATAAAAAAATAAAATGAATACTTCCTGAGGATTCACCATAATATGTATGCTTTTCTGATGCAAGAAAAACATCAAAATAGAGCAAGCTAACGTTGCAAGTGTATATAAAGACATCTTGCAGAGAATGCTCTTTTGCCTGAATAGTTTCATAATTCTTAGAGAAAGAAGAGAAATATGAAAGGAAGTATTTACTAATCTGTTCATGTAGTAAAGGAATACCAGTTGTTGGAGGGGCTTCTTTTTCCCTTTTTTTTTTTTTTTGGATGGGTCTGGGTATGAATTAGGAATAAATTACTCAGTGTAACTGTGTATTGGAAATTTAAAGGAACAGCTTTCCACTAAAAGTGGAATTTGACTATTTAATAGCCATAAGACAATTGAATAGTTGAGCCACACAGAGAAGAGCTCAAATAAAAACCTTCCTTGTTGATTTAGCCTTATAGTTACCAGATTCAAAACTTGTTGAATTGCAACTTGAAAAGAAAAGAGCAAAAAATGAATAATTCCTGAAATAGGCTCAACATTACCTCTGAATTCAACTGGCACTATTTTTTGCTTTGAGTAAGACACTGAACTTCCAAGCTTGCTCCCTCTCCTCCTCAACGCTAAGGAAAGTGCCTTTTAGCTGCTTGAATCTGATGCGGAAATTTTGGGGAAAATTATACCAATTGTCCTGTCAGTCCTGAGTTTGTATAGCAACTTGTACCAGGCCAAGAACACTTCCAGTTCCATTGCAGATTCTGTGTCTCTTAACATTCTTTCTGGTTTGGGTCTTCCCTCTCTGTTTTCCCTCCTCTCTAACTCACTGACACGCTCAGGAAACAAATCAGATTGATTTTTGGTCAGTTGTTATGTGAATAGTCCTGAAGAGAGCATGTAACTGGTGAGGAGGAGATGACAGTTACTTAACTTTTACACCGGAGTCACTGACTTGGTTGTGGCTGTGTCCTGTTGGTGCACTCCATTTCATCTCAACTACCGAATAGACACAATTTGTCTAGCCTGTCACTCTGGCAAGCTTGGAAATGTCACAGTCTGTACTAACTGCTGTTTATAGAGTATTGTTGCTGTGAAATAGCATCTGCTTCCACCTCTGAGCTCTAGCATTTTAGAAAGGAAATACACATTTGCTATCTTACCAGCATCTAACTCTCGTAATTCTTACAATGCTCACTTAGTCCTTTACTTACGAGGACCTTCAGATGCATGGAAGAAAAGCATGCTGAAAATGCAACATGTGATTGCTCATTAGAAACAGAAATAGGAGATTCATTAATACAAAGCATGTAGTAGTTTCTGTGAACTTCCCAGAACATCAAGAAACAAAATTGAACATGCAACAGAAAAAAATGGAATTGCAAAAGGCATCTGACTGAAGAACTTCCACTTTAAGTACATTTATTTTTTCCTAGAAAGTATTTGATACTAAGTAGCGCCCTACTTTGACAGGTATGAAATAAACCTGGTTATTAGTTTTCAATACTGACGGCAAAAAAATTAACTGAGCATTTCATTCATTCATTAATCATTTCAGAATTAAATAACCAAACGCGGTTCTTAGATTGCTTTTTGAAAGGATGTAAAAATAAATGAAAGTCTATTCTAGCAAAATAATAAAGAAGTGGATGTTCAATCAAGAATAGCGACAACTCCAGTAAATCAGAATGATTCTTGTATCTCAAGTCTGTATTGTTAATTTAACAGGATTGATAAAATTATATTCTGTCCTTTAAAAAATAAATAGACAAAGCATTAAACCCTGTCAGTTCAAGGGAAGAAAACCTTAATTACTAACACTAGCAAAAAGAAGTATTTTAGTTTTGTCTTCACTAGCTTTGAAACATGGACATAAAATGCTGATACACACTTCCAGTGATAAAAGGCGATTTCAGATTCACTGGAAAACCTTACTGCTAAGACGCAATTACCTCCAGAATTGCAGCAGACATCCCTTCTGAAATCGAACTGTTCACCACAGCAAAGCACCTTTTCATAGCAGCATGAAGATCATCTTGTGGCATCTCTTGCAATAAATGTACTCCAGGTGCCCTAGAAATCACACAGGCACAAACACAACGTCTCCTAAGAATGTGCTCTAAGAATTCTTCCTAAAACTTAGGGCAATGATGGAAGGTGGGTGGTCAGAGCAAGTCAGGCAAGGTTCTGATGTTAACGGCCACTTGCCCATGGGCCAGCCACTTGACCTTGTTTTGATTAGCTTCCTATCTATAAATGTGGTTATAAACTCAATACAGCATCCATCGCTATCTGCCACTTCAGTGTCTGTCACGCTGGAGTTTTACGGTTGATCAATTACCCCCATGCTCTGTTAGCCACGATCAGTCTCATCAACGAAGGAGCCGAGTTCAATAAGTAGGAGTGCAATTTTTCCCTTAAATAATTTGTTTAATATAGAAAGGATGCATGCAGAGATTTATGAAGAGCACACAGTTTAAATACTCTAGGGAAATGGAGCACGATCATCAGAACGGTCAACTGCAGGAGATGCTGACTTTTGGGGATGAAGTGCAGTTCTGAAAGATCTATTCTGCTTTCTCTTTTATTATTATCTTGTGTTCGGAATGGTTAGCTCAGTGGGTTGAGCTTGATGCTGACAACAACGACAACACCGAGGTTGCGGGTTAGATTCCTGCTTGGTCCCCACGTGTTGCCTGATCTAGTCGAGAGGTTGCATCCCTGCCCATGACAGGGAGGTTGGATTAAATGATCTCTAAGGTCCCTTCCAGCCTAGGCCATCCTGTGATTCTATGATACTGTCCTCACATTCCTCAGATTAATCCAGGTCAATTGAATTAAGGGTGAAGGGTAGAAAAACAGGGTAATTAGGCGTTCAGTCTCAAAGTGAATGAGATCTTCAAGACCGGTATAATTTTTTAAAAGCCAGAGTCTCCTCCACTCGATGAGCCTGCTCCTGCCTCTTTAACCTCAATGTGAGATCACTAAGCCAGATGGAAACACAAACGTGTTTGACACCAAGGCCAGCTCGCTGTCAACTACTTCGTTAAACATTGCTTTTCTGATTGTGCAGTAACATCCAGCTTCTCTAGAGATAAATAACTATATCAACTGGAGTATAACTACATGATTACAGGACTCATGTCTCCTGTGAATAACCTGACAGAAAACAAAAAGCATTCTTGTTTGCTCCAAAAATGGAATTGCAAACCATATATTTTCTGCAGACTTTATTATCGGATATTATCAATCAGAGATAGCATGGTTGTTCTGTTCCAGTCAGACAATTCAAGGTTCTGCAGATGCACAAGCAAATATCCTTTCTCTAAGATTTATATGCTTCAATCAAGAAGCATATAAACTAGGAACAATAAAAAAGCTGTACAGGGTTAACTCGGCCATCTACTCGTCCACCCACCAACAGCAACCATGTAAAATCACGAAGTAAGGACAAAATAAAGAATGAGAAGATCGAAAAGAATAATAAATATAAATCACACCTGTCAGCCAATTTGTTTGATTTGGAGCAGACAAAAGGCTTGACATTAACTTCTTACCTTTTAACTTTTTCCTTAACTTCACTTGTAAAAAGTGGATCAACCTGGAAAGGAATATACACACAAGTATGGGGCACTGCTTTAGCACTACAGCATATGGCTGAAATACCCAGAAAAAGAAAAATAAGTTTTAGCACATTTTTTTACTGTAATATTTAAATGCATGAATGCACTGAGCTTTAAAATCACGCCACAGATCTGCAGCTTGGTGTTTCTCTGTCTTCAGACAAGTGCTCTTGTGATTGACACGCAGAATACCCAGCCAGGGGAGCGAGGGCACAGCACACAGAGTGTGAATTCACCACTCCACTCTCAACCCCGCAGTGACTCCTCTAACACAGCAGCAGCAGCAGCAGCAGCTGCAGCGTCGCTTTGGGCGGCTGTCAGAAGGGGAGGTTCCCTTTCTTCTCCCCTGACATCCTTCTGGCTGCAGGTTCTAATTAGATCTACATCTATTTAAGAAGAATGACTGTTTTCAGATGACTCTGCTAAGGCCAACACGATTCAAATGACCGATTTGACAACTTACTGTCTAAGTGAGGAACGATGCACTGACGTGCCAAGCAATTGTCTGCCCCTTTACGTGCGGAGTAAGCAATGTGAGGAAGGAAAGGAACTTTTCAGGCTTTAGTTAAGGCAGGAAGCAACCCGCGTCTAAACCGAGACAGTCAGAGAGATGTTACGCACTGTCAGGAACATTTGCATGCAAACTGATAAAAACTAAGTTCTAAACTAAAGTCTAACGTGAAGGCGTGTTGGAGTTATTAGAAAGTTGTCTAGGCTGGGCAACTAACTCCGGAAGGTTTATTTAGAAAGCTTAACTGTGTCTGCTACTTTCATTTAACAAAATTAACAGAAATAAATAGAACTCAGAAATCTTTAACTAGACATGAAGAACAGAACTAGACTTTCTTTATTAAGGCTGACTGACTGTATTAGATTAATTTATGATAGTTTGCACAGCATGCAGCAGTTTTAAGGACTAGGAACAACCTGGCTTATTTTGTTTAATGCATGTTAGTGTTGTGGGTTTGGTGATTTTTTTCACATTATGGGATAGAGAACACTCAGGAAACATTCTAGAAAACTTTTGGGGAAAAAAGTCAGAATTGATTTTATAACTACATGTACTTTGAAGACAAGAGTATTTCATGAAAACAGGGCTTCATAAATTAAAAGATTCAAGCAAGGCACTTTTGTGCCAAGGAATGAATTCCCACTAAACGCAAGAAATAAAAGGCTTGCCTAACTGCTTAAGAAATACTTTTGGTAACAGCAGGGGGGGGGAAACAAATGCCCTTTCCTGAAGCACTGCCTGATCCTGGCAAGAGCATCTTACAGATCCGCACACTAAACGAGTACGTCATGTCACAGAGTTTTTGGGTATTTCACACTAAACTTCACAATTTCTATTTCTATATGTATATCTTTTCAGTTTTCTCCCCAAAGTACTATTTCGATGCTGAGTTCCTCTCATGAGGAACAATACTCTGTTTCCATTAAAATCAATGGAGTACTTGCAAGTGATTTAACGAGCAGTGGGATATGGTCTTCTGCTCTTCTGCCTCTAGAAGGATGAAAAAAACTATAGCCTGCGACTCATAAAATTTGTAAAATATTAATTTCTATTCCATCTACTCCTGCAGAAGCCAAGAAATTGCCATCTGCCTCATAAACAGAAAATCCTTTAAGCTGTATTTTTCTACTGGTAGATATTCCAAGAAGCCTGGCCCGAATATGAGAATTCAGTTAAAATATTACTTTCAGGATGGGTGTAGCAATGACTTAAAGAAGTGATCCCCCTGAGCTACATTTAGGAACTTGAGGGGGCACAGTTATGTAACCACAGGCTCAATATAACAGAAAACAGATACAACATAAGCTGTTCAGTAAGTTGGAAACGCACTTAAAAGATGTGAATGTTTCCAAAGCGAGCTATGGCAGAGTGCCTAGGAACTTAGCACAGTCTCAGAAAAAGCTACTGAAAAGAAAAGAAAGTTACCTCCACCCAAAATGTCTCCATGATCCAGTTCTTCTATAGGTAAACTTGTTGCCACATTTTATTTTGTTACCTCTCACCATAGTAGGGAAATAAGATCATCAGTTACCTATCGTCTTTTGCTAAAAGAGGAAGAGCCTTCAGAGAGATGCAAATCTGAGCAATTTAGCAGAGATCAGAGGAAAACAGCTTGCGCTGAATGAACAGTTTCTATCAGAACAGATGAGATAAGATGACACATGGAAAGGGGAGTGGGCACATAGCAAGAAACTGCACCAAACAGGACCAGATATGCTATTAAGGAAGTTCTACTCTGCTGACAGGCAAAGAAACATCTGAGACATGTTTGACAGTGCAGAAAGTCACAGATCAAAGGGTGTGCAAAGATGAAGGTGCCTGTTAAGCAAAGGGCCTACCAAGATCAAAATCTAGGAAATCTTCTATAAACACACCAGATTAAATTGCTGTCATATAAAAATTAACTCAGACAGAAGCAATGATCCAGAAATATCCTCATTACAATGCCAAGACTACTATGGCCCTCTAGACTTTGTAGGGAGAAATAGGTCTCTGCTTCTGGCAGAGCATCACCCACAGTACCGAAGAGTGAAAAGTTGTATCTGCAAGCATGCTCAGTACGGACAGGAAGAATTTGCTCAGTTGCTTGGGTTTCTGAGGTTTTGATGCCATCACTGTGAAAGGAACCAGCTTTATTCACAGCAGAAGGTGACCCCACATTACAATTTTTATCTGATCGATTGTTAAATAGTCTCAGCAAGATGAAGCTTCTCCTCCAACTGAAAACACAACTGTTGCCCAAAACGCAGCACAGTCTGCCTGCAGCAAATGCACCAGAAATAGAAGATCCTCGTGAACATACTAAACTCAGTCAATGTGTATCATCTTTTCCATATACTAAATGACCAAGGAAATTCACTGTCTTCTGGCTTAATGTGTAGCTCTACCACTGCAGTTTGGACAATAAAGAACTTGTAAAAAATATAGTTTAAATTCAGTTGAAACAATTTAAAAAAAAAAATCAGGTCTGAAAGAAAAATATAAAACCTTTTTAAAAAATATTGCAACAGCTCATCTCACAATTCTAACAAAAATTTCTCTTTCAGTGACTTTTTCTCGAAGAACAAGCAAACAAACAAAAAAAGGGTTAGAAACGTGGTCAGCTTAATGGTTACAGTAGCTCTTCTAAAAAACTTCTCAGTAAGACACTTATTCAGGATGTAACTGGCAGAATTTGATATTCTTCAGGACATCAAAGAATTTGAAAACGTACCTTTGTCTCCTATCTGTTTTTCGTAATTATTGTGCTCTAGGATATTCAGGAGCCAGTTATCATACTTCCTCTAGTTGCTTAGTTTAATCATGCCAACAGCTGTTTCATTTTAGAACTAGCCCAGAAAACAGACAGTAGGTAACAGCCATCCATTAGAAAGAGATGAGCTACATGACCTGAGAGGTCCCTCCATCTGTGGAGGCAGTTATTCAACTACAACTGTCACAACAGGCATGGAAAGAAGTTGAACAGAGGAAAAATAGCTGTCGATGGAAAACAATATCATTACAAACACAGCAATATTCTGTGCTGTCTACAAGAACGGTCGCGAATTACGCAAAGTGGGCTTCAAGAGGTTACCTAACCCCTCAACGCAAGTTGTGTGACCTTTGCTTTTTTTCCAGTTTCATAAGCTGCAATTCTTCTGCTGAAAACTAGCCAGTGTTTCAAATTTCACTACAGAAATGAACAGAAGGGACATAATTGCTAGAGATTTTACATTACACAGCACCCAATCCTGCAATGTTACTTAGATTGCACCATGTGAAACAATCATGCAAAGCAAATCCAGGGAAAAAGGTTATAATCTTATGGAAGCAAAGCAGAAAATAGTTTGTATGTCTTTGTTCTTTATACTCTTAATAAATACAATCCTAATGTGTGGAGTTTCTAATATTCACAATAAACATGATGCTTCACAGATAATGGCACTGATTTTCTTAAGATTCTGTGGTTTGAGAAGCAACATGAATAAGAAAAGTACATCTAAATACCAACAGAGCTGAGATATATTTTCATCCTTTAGCAATATTTTAGTACTATGGGGGAAATATTTTTTTAAATATTTTAAGGAGGTTCACTCCTTGGTCCTGCCTATGAACTGCCACAGGCTTATTTCTGGTAGCTTACTGTAAAGACATTAGCTTACGAAAAGTGAAGTAAATTTAAAAAGATGACTAAAATGTTTAAAATCCTCACTGGAGGCAGCAAAAGAGCATCTTTTGATTCCAAAGTACAGCTTCATTACACCTGCTTGCCTTCCACACCAGTTCACTTCCAAATAATTTTGTGTATTGGTGTGGAAAAAAACACAGATAAAATAAAAATGTAAGAACAGCTTTTAAAAATAAAAGCCTGTGTCCCCAAATTTGCAAAGATTAAAACCGAATGAGAAAGTAGAAAAATAGTCCTTATTTGCCCGTTCAGGTTCTGGTTTTTTTTTATAAACCAGGCTGTGTGTACGTTTTCAGGCTCACATGAAGATGAATCACAGAGGAGACTTACAGCAGGACATGAACACATTACCCAGATGAAACAATGAAGCTTTTAGTACCCTTTTAGCATCAGCAAGAGTTTGTTTCATATGACACAGCTGCCTACTTATCCCTTTTCCACTGCTTATATTATGGCTACAGGGTGCCTCTTCAAGACTTCTGCTGCAATGGATATACGTGCAGCACAACTGATTTTTCTCCCAAGTCCTGCAATTAGTTTTATTAGCTTGGTGCAAAATACGTTCCTTTGCCGTGGGTGACACGCTGGAAGCAGAAGCAGCAGGGCTGTGGGAATGAACCTCTTTTTGAACAGAATTAAGAGAAGCACTTTGGTGGCTCAGAAACATCCTTCCCCTCTCCCTCGCCAATTCCCAGAACAGGGTGACTGCTGAGGATCTGGCCCACAGCAAACACTGTGCTAGCAGATATTTAGGTAGAGTATTGGTTAAACTGAGATTTGGGCAATGTTTACCTTTGCCTCGTGGTCTGAAAATAACCACACGTTTTGTAGTTTTGCATTTTTTCAGCACTGCACTGAAGAGAAATCATAAAAACATTTACACATGCTTGGATGGTTCCTTTCTAAAGGCCTCAGCTTCTGCAGGTGGAATCAGACAGATTTCAAAGTGGAAACCAACTGTATGTTTTGTCTGAAGAGAGTTAGTAGCCACAGAGAATTAGAAGTTTTAACTTCCAAATTTGTTAAACGGGATCTTTATGACTTAGGGGGAAAAAAATGAAATTTCACATCAATATTGGCCAGCACTTTTACTAAAATACGTGTAATTCATCTGGAAGGAATGATACCAACTCTAATCTGAGATGGGGACATATAAGAACAACTGTTTCTGATTTCATTTATTTTAGTCAACTCTACCCTCCCTCTCAGATATCCAAAGCTCAGGCTTCAGTGCACTCCGATTCTAAATGTGAAACTCAGATTCTAAATGTTGTCAGCTCAAGCTCTGTCCTTGCTGTCTGGTGTCAGACAGAAACCTGACATCACTTTGCACCTGCTGACAACTGTTAATTGTGTACAAATTGCGATTACCAGAAATGGCATCAAGATCTAAATGGAATGGAACAAAGACGCAATCCTCCACGTGAACGAAAGATGTAGGAACAGGGATAATGAGCACTCGGTATCACCTTCACAGTTTTAAAAATCCTCTTTAGCAAATATAAAAATAAAAGAAAAATTACAACAACTTACTGCGGGTCCAATTATGCCCAGATGGACACTGGAATCCTTTCTGTGCCAATCTAAAACAGAAGAGGAACACCTTTTTTATTAATCAAAATTTTTAATTTTTAATTTAATTTGATTCTTTCTCTGAAGTCAATATAAACAGCTGCATAAATAAAAAAAATTAAGTAAATATTGTATTACTACTTGACTGAATTGTGTAGCAGATTTCACGCTCAGCCCTCACATTACACCTCAGAATACAAATTATTAGCATATCTGAAAGCTAGTATTTAGCATTTCTACTTCACACAATCTCTTATGATTCAAGGGTTATTTCAGTAAGCTCAGATATTAATTATGAATCAGCTCAAGAGAAAAAAGCTCTGTATCGTGCTGTGACTCTGGTCACTAAGACAAAATTATTTGGATTCTTTCCTATGTGAAGGAAGATATGGAAGCAACTACAACGATTACAATTACTCCTCAATTACACACACAAGAAAAATCTGCTGCTCCTTCCATACCAGAATAGAATAAAACCAGTTTACTTGACTTTAATAAACTACATTTGTTACTAAGCATCACAAGGTGGTAAAGGCTTATATAAGTAAGCTGAACAGTGGAGGCTAAATCTCCAACTTGGAATACCTGAACCTTTTACGTACACAAATGGAACCTGACAAAACATTCATCCATGGGACTACAAGAAAACTTCAGGCCAGTTCACAGTTTTGAGCCATAACAATGGGTGGTAAAATTTGCTTGTAACTTCAATGATATTAATTAGCACGCATGCAAATCAATGTAGCAGTCACAGGATGGTAAGATAAGAAAGTTATTTTGAAGTAGGTGAATTCTTTTTTTGTCTTTCGTTAATATTGTATGTAACAGCAAAACAATTTTCCCAGCAAGTAAAATCATAAGATACTGTTTGATGCTGTTATTCCCAGCAGGATGGAAAAGACGGAAAATGTTTTGAACAGATCAATGGTTACATGAGCATTTCTTTTTTAAAATGTAAATATATTATGAAGTTTTCCGCAATGAATAAAACAGCTTATGTCAAACTTATAAAAATTAAAAGAAACACATCTGAATTCAGGGACAAAACAAGGGCGTTCAAATAGCAAGCACCTACCTGAAAATGCATCGACCAAATACAGAGGGTCTTTGACTCTTCGAAGTCCGCATATCAAAAGAAACACATGTAAATTGCTTGCATCTGTAGGAATGTCTGTAATAAATAATTTTAAGATCTGAATGTAGGTTAAAAAACACTCCAAACTGTTTCATGAATGAGCACATCCAGTAGCAAAAGCAGTAATAGGCTGGATTCGGAAAAATTCTTGGTATTATTCTGTTTCCTGTTCAGTGGAGAACTTATTCATGCACATCGTTTAATAGGGCACAGGAGTTTCTTTCCAGAGGCAGTGAATGTCCATGATTTGGAGAAAAATCCAGTGGCCAGTACTATTGAACACCAGAACTCAGCTTTGACTGACTAAGCAACTATACAAATCAGTGTGTTTCTCAATACTTCTACCCATAAGAAGAATAAATGTGCATCCATATAATAACTCAACATCTATTTCAAAGATATTGTGAGGTTTAGTTAATCAGTGGTTGTAGGGATCTGAGCTCTTGATGTGACACTTCTTGTTGTAAAAGATCAGGTAAATATTCTATAATTATCTATCCCTAATATGCCAGCACTGCTATAGAGAAGTGAAGTGACCTGAAGCTAAACTATTGAAAAGCAATTATTTTAACCGATTTTTGAAGAAATACAAATGAAAAATAATTTGGGAGAAAATCTCAACATGGGAGTTTTTAATACTGAGAATCTCCCTTGCAAATACAGAGCTATATTAGAAAAAGAGGACTGATGCATGGTACTGCAGTTGCCATGTTGTGACAGCACAATTAATTCAGACCATAGTTCTGGAGAACGGTCACTGTGATGAACTTTGGTAAAGTGTATTTATGATACAACAACATAATTCAAAAATTGCTGAATGAACACACATAACAACATAATTTAATAAACACTAGAGGGGCTGAAATGTTCATGCTCGATTTACTGCACTGAACAAATCAGTCTGCTGTCCTTCAGATCACCTATTTATAGATCTCATGGATGCCACGTGTCACCTAACGCTCGGGAGTTCAACGAGTAGCATCTAACTGGTGCTCTTCAGCGGCCGCCTGCCTGTGGGACATTCAGGCACGGCTCCCACACCAGGGCTGCATCCCACAGCTACAAGGAGGAGGATGCTGCAGGCCAGAGTGACTGTCTGAGGGATTTATGCTTAGGAGAGGAAGGCAGCAGAGCAGCTGCGGTGGCACGGTGCTCTGCCGCTGCCGAACGCTGCACAGCATCCTCCTCTGAGGTCCCCGTCCTCCTCCTCCCTTCCCCTTCCTCTCTCCACCAGCTGCAGGAACAACTCAACTGCTTATACAGCTCCAGTGAATCGCTGCAATTTGTAATTGAAGATCACCCAAACTTGGTACCACCCTAAGGTCCCTCCTTGTGGTTCTGTAGAACATCACCGCAGGGTCTGCTCCAGGCCCTGGAAGAAATATGCCAGGACTATCTCGCCCCAGGTCAAGGAACTGGATTAACGTGAGCTCTGTATCAAACTTCTGTTTTGTGTGAGGGGGAGAATCAAGAGAGTGGTGATTCCGTACATACTCAAGTGCTATTGCTTTTAAAACTAAAAACCAGTTCGGACACTTTTAAAAGCTCCCTGTCAGGGTTCATTACTGAGTCTGTTTCACTTAAACAGCTTGAGCTGTCAAGAGTGGCTGGAGCAGCCACAGTCAGTAATATTTAACTGGTTACTGGACCAAGAAATATTCTGTAATTTATAATACACAAACATTTGGATTGAAAAAGTCATTCTTCTGGTGCAGTGGGCCATTAATACTGTTTGTTTTTAAGCCATGCAGCAGCAGTTTCAACTCATGACATAAACTCACACAAACCAAATTTCTAGAAAGTGTCAGCAAAATTCAGATTGCATTTTAACTATCCACATGGCACAAATACTGATTTTAAATTATGAATTCCCACTTATTGATGTTCAGCTCTGGCTATTTTGGAACGAACTTAAAGTTAGCGCTGAAAGCTTAGTCAGGCAGTAGTCAGAAACCCAGTCTTCCTGTTCTTATATAAAGACTCCAGAATTATCGCACTTTTGGCGTGATAGCACTCTGATCAACATTAACTAAACTTGAAATAACGGCTTCTTTTTATCTCTTAACATTTTTTTTGTTTTTACCTTATATCTTTCATTTTATTAGATAAGGGTTTAAAGTGTTCTGACAATGAAAAGCCCTAACAGACCGACTCTGTGAAACCTTGACTGCTATTCTGCTCTCCATATGAAAACCTTAGCCTGAAACAGAAACAAGAAACTGGCCCCACAGGCAGTAATTGTACGTTGTAATTTGGTTTTGACATTCGGTTCCTATGACATTTGAAGGTACTTGTCCCAAGAATCTCATCAAAAACATCTCACTATTTCACTAGTGAAATTACCTAAAACAATATTTATTAATGAAAATAGCCACTTATTTGACCTTTACTATTCTGAGAAGACATTCACAACTTTGAACTCTCACTGCAGACATCTCCTTCACACAACTTTACAAAGCTCTGCTTGTCTGCCACAAAATTTTATGCACTTTCTCTGAAATAGCAGATACTGGGTTTGCTGGACTACAGACAGAATCCTACATGGCATTTTTAAAAACTGTCATGGAAAGCTAGTCGAAAAAAAGGATTTGCCTCTGACATTCCACTTAGTGAAGTGAGAATTGGTTCTAGTTTTATTTTATTGTATGCTGTAGATCTTAGTAAACACCTAATTCATTTTTTACAGGCAGACTTTCTTCACTCAATCCACTTAGAAGCATATAAAGACATTCCTAAGAAGATTGCATTACCAGCACATCCCTGCCACTGTTTAGTGCCCGAACTTTACTCATTCTCTGTCTACTTAAGATCAAACCTCAGCAGCACTTGTGTGTATCTTGTTAGCTTTCTACTCATTCACTCAAAATGGTTAAATTCACACATTAAGATGATGCCTGCATCAGTGTTTTCCCACCTATTGTTTTCTCAAGCATCTCTGCTGTGAAAAGAAAAAAAAAAGGAAGAAAAAAAAGGTAGCCATTTGTACAAGGAAGCAATCATTTTAGGATGATTTATCCTCACAAGAACGTTGAAAAAGGGAACATATTAAGAGAATAACTGCAACATCTGCCTTTATCAGCTACACCCACCAAGCTGGTTGAAAACTGGTATTTGAAAGACGACTTTTTTCTTTTCCCTTGAGCTTAAACAAGACTTTCAGTACATAAATTTTTGCTAGCATTCTGCCTTTCGCAGATAGGCTCCTTAATTTGTAATAAGATACTACTACCTCATGTGATTCAGTTCTGAAATGGAAATGCATTAATATGGCACAGTCAACTGATTTGCTTTTCTGATAGATTCACCGTGTCACTCTTATTTGAATGACATACAAACACCCAAATAACAAAAAGATGCTTGTGTCTGTTTGTCCCCATTTCTGTTAGTGCTACAAAAGCGAAGATTTGAGACAGCACACTGTGCTTCCTTATGTCTTAGCTCATGCATCCTTCTGTTTGCTTTGCAAACAAAATACAAAATTGAGAGATTTGTATACAAATACTTGCAATAAGAAAAAGAAAAAGACTGCACGGTACATGTTTTCCAGCCATTCTTCAAAATCACTACACGCTACATGCAAGTCAAGCCTTGCCACTGTAATCAACATCTCTTTCAGTGTCAAAAATAATTGTTTAATGTCAGTAAGAGATGCTCCTTTAAACATGCATTGTCAGTATTTGTCCATGGCTGTAGTCTGATTTGTTGCATTGGCTTTATCTACAAAAAATAGCTGCCTTGGCCACAGCCAGCCTTGAGCCTGCTTAGCAGGTCATCTGCTCAGCAAGATGTGAGAGGTCAGAACACGAACAGTGATTGATAGGATTATGACAAGTCATTCCCCTCATCAGCCTGACAGCATGCTGTCCTGATACGCCACCCAGGACCGCGGGGATGGTAACAAATGAACTGCAGGTGAGCTGAAATGAGACAGACACGGTGGAAGATTAAGACCGACACGGAACTCCCACAGCCATGCGACTCCTTTTTCATGATGGGGCAGAGGTGGGATTTGCTGCTTAAAACTGAAACACAGCAATGCATTGGAACTGCACGATCAAAAGGGCATCCGACTGCTGTGCCGGTGTACTTGTTGATACTATTGGAACCTGGCACAAAACATATTGGCTACTAGATGAGATGTGATTGATACTCGGGATTCATGTGCTCCTGCTGGCTGTGATTCTGGGTCATGGCATGGCCTAGAGAAAGTTTGTCGAATCTAGACTTGTCCCTCTAGAATTATGCATTCATCTGGAAGCAGGTTTAATAACTGCTTAATACAAAGTAAGGGCACTGAGTTTGACTTTCGGAAAACTGTTCAGGGGTCTTCAGTTGCAAGAGAGAATGAACGAATGGAGTATATTCTCCTAATGCAACACTGGAAATGAGCAATTTACTATTTAAGATCTCATTGGCTCCTAGCTCATTCCTTACCTGAAACTGTAACTGTTTGTCACATCAATAATTTTATTATAATGATACGCTATGATAGTTTAGACTTGGGCCTTTATAAGAAATCTGTACTTAAGATGCCAGGACAGCAAAACATGAACACAGGTACAGCTACACAAAAGCCTAAATAATTGCTGAAGCATCAGTCAGGACACTGTTTTTTCTAAGAAAGGCAAGAATAAGTAGAAGTGTTATCTAAATAGATTTTGTAAGAGCAGATTCATTTAGCTCCTTCCCTCTAGGTACTATCATGAAAAAAAAAAAAGTAGTAATCACAGATGTATAGCAAAAATAAATATAATACTGCAAATCTTTACTCTTACTGAAAACCTGCAGGCCTTTAAGTGAATGAGTAATATCAAGCACTAGGTTGCTGAGAGGTAAAGAAGCAGTTTGAGAACATCTTAACTGAGCAATTTTCTCACCACTTGCTCAAATAAAGACAATAAAAATATTCGTATTTACAACTCTTGTGCTTTTCTAGGGTGTTTCTGAAATTTCTAGAGAGGAGAAAAATATAAAGAGGAACAACACGATTTTTCATTCAACGTTATTATTTCACAAGTCACCTGTTAAAAGCAAGCTGTTCAGATCAGCCAGGTTTTCCATCTTCTTTGTCATAGCAGTGTCCAACTGCAGCACAGCTTCAACATGCTAATTTACTTTATTCTGACTCTGAAGTTTCTTGAGTGAAGCTACTGACGACACAGAACTTTGACAATTAATAGCCTAGTTAGGTCTTATTTTAGCAACATACTTGATGACCTGCAGACCTCAAGCATTAATGTTCTACAAAGTGGAGCTTTTATTTTTAAAGTAACTTATATCTTAGAAATTAGGAGGAAGTGGAGGTAATATGTTTATCCAAAGTGTTTACACTGCTATTCACATTCAGAAGTGAATAATTGCTACAGGTGCTGATAGGTTTGTAAGGACAACAGAAGTTAAACAAACCTCTTAATTTCTAGGGTCAGGTTAGCAATCCAGGAAAAAATAGGCTGCGAAATTCTCCAGCAATCCTTTTTTTTTCTCTGCTTCTTATTATTTCTAACAGATCAGACAAAAAAACTCTATGCTTTCTGCTGGGGAACAGTTTGTTGCAACTATCATACCATTATTTCTATGGTCGCCTATATATCAGCACAAACTTTTACTGCTGAATTTTTCTTACGTGAGTCTTTTTGCAGCATAGCTTTAGGAAAATATAACGCCTCTGTAAAACCCTGTCTGTGTCAGGACAGGTTACGTAAACTATTCGAGCTCTGAGAATTGCGGTGCTACGAAGCAGAAATTATCTGAGAGTAGAAAAATCAAACTACAAAAGTATATTGGATTTTGGATATTGGATATTGCACTTGATAGCGCAATAAGCATCTGATCCTGCGATTCTATGTCACCTTCCAGGAAAACAGGTTTTAATTTTGCCTGTTGCATAAACAAGCTTTCTCAGTTCATTAGCACAGGCTTTGTTAGTTATCTGCATCTTCTAATCAAATCACATGATGTCTAAGTGTTTATTAGGGTTTACATCTTAAGCTTCAGCCACATTCCACTGAAATCAAAAGGATCTTTCATCACGGTATGATGACATCAATCCTGTCTGTGATCTCAAGGAGCTATGCTCCTTCCTTGAATTAAGTCGTTCTTAAAGATCAGTCTCAGTTTTTACATTTACTTAGACTGTCTTGTCATTTCTGTCAATCAATTTACAGCAAAAGCCTGGACTTCCATTGCCTCTCCCAAGTCTACAGACGGGCATCTCCAATTGCTAACAAAACTGGTAAGGCTCTGTATAGATTCCTGTATTTTAAGGTCAGAGAAAAACATTTTGATCATCTGGTCTGACCTCCAGACTGACACGAGCTATAATACTTCCCTAAATTGGAACTGCAGTAGGCTATAATACTTCCTTAAATAGCCCGTGTTATTAAATATACGTATAACATTGTCTTCTTGAAGTTTGTATTGAAATCTACACTTGGTTCAGTGTTTTGGTTTAACTACTGTTGTTTGTTTACAGGCTTTCATCTAGAGAAGACAAACTCAGTGAAGCTGACTGTTAACCAAAAGGCAAATTAACTTTAAAAGCCCTTTTGTGGTAGATTTAGCCAATGAATGTTTTAACAACCAGCTCCTAGAATTTTCTGGTTTAGTACCATTCACGTTTAGGGGCTGCCTCACACAGTAAAATGTGTTTGATGCGTTCTGCCATTCTCTTAATTCTACTATTAAAGTATATTTTAAAGCACTACTCTGACTTAAAGAGATTAATTTATGTACCAGTGTTGTATTTAACAAGAGTTAAATGTTAAGGCTTTTTGATAACTGAATAAAAACAGGTACAGAAAATACTCATAAGAAGTCTGTTCTATGAAACGATGTCTTGAAATATCCTGAAGAGCCTATTTCATTTTAAAGAATAACTTGACAGTGTATGGCTTGATCATCAAGGATATTTAATACTGATGTCCCAAATGTATTACAATTGGCATTGTAAGGCATGTGCTGTTTCTTTACATCATTTCTGGGAATTCTGAATTTGATAAATGGTCAAGGATATCACTAAAGATATAGGCAAGAGCTATCTGGAGAAATATTTTCCACAAAAATCATTAAATGCCTTTAGATGAGGACTAGAACTTCATGAAAAAAGTCTTTTGAAAACCCCAATATCATAAATGCCATGAGGTGAACAAGATTGGACAGCTCTATCTGCATAAAAGCTAGGGATCTTTTCAAGTGCCCTTCATTGTGCAAGCCTACGCTGTCAAAAACACATTCTTCTCAGCAAAACTGCTTGCTACTTTTGATAGCGTTCTACCAATTGCTCCAAGTATAGCAGAATCTTAAACACACTGAAACTGCAGATCCCTGGGACTAGTCTGTATTAAGTGCAAAGGCACAGCCAAAAAATCTGCCTCCATGTGCAATATTAAAAGAAGTGGAAATTGTAGGCTGCTACCAGAGATGGACAAAGATAAGACTGGTAAGATAAATGAGATGAAACAGTTACGCAAAACAATACTGAATAATCTGATGACAGTTTCCAAGTTATTATTTAACAGGCACAGCTGTTAGAGTCACATTTTAGTTTGCTTTTCATGTATCTTATGAATTATTTTGCACTTTTGCATTAGTACACATTAGGCAAAAAACTGCCTCTGATACATTAGGTGAAATGCACTTTAGGGGGAGCTTCCCCCTCCTCAATCTGTTGACTGCTCTTTTAATCATAAAATGGTCAGACATGAGATCCAATCAACACTAAGGCTGTGCTAACAAGTGACAAATAGCCTCACTTCAGAATATTATTAATCTTGGTGGCACTGTGCTTGTGTGCTGTGATTTACTGGGAACAAAATAACCTCACAACGCTCAATTTAAAATCGGACACCATTTTTGAATAATGGCACACATTTACTGATGTGATAAAGCAACTGACTGGTGAGGATTCATTTGTAACAGAGGGAACGGCTGTACTATCAGAGATCAGACTGATGAATATAATACTGAAATATTTTTACCACAGTAAAATACCTACCAGTTCTTTTGGGGAAAGGCAGCTGGAGCAATCACAGCATTGCCAAGATCAGGTAACTTTAAATTAGGTCACCTGCCTTACATACCATGACTTTGGTGACATACAGGCTCTAGACAAGAGACGGGTTCTGGATAAGACCAGATAATAGAACATTAACACATATTTTCCTTCTTCACCACTTCTTCGCCTCACCTCTTCTTCTGCAGAGAACATCTATAAAGCACAGCACACTCAGGAATCGGGGCTTTGGCCTAATTTACCTTCAAAAGGACATTGACCTATATGTGTGACCATTTTATCTTTTGGTGCAATTCAGCCCTGGACAGGCTGGCTGGATAGTTTACTAACCAGACTAACTCGATCAATATTCTGCCGGAATCTAATATTAAAGGTTTGCATTTTTCATATCATTAAGTCATTTATCACATAAATGTCTTTTTTCTACAACGAACACATACAGTGAATACAGGGAAAAAAGTGAATTTTACCTGCACTTTGTAGAAATCTATACCAGTCAAATGTTTCACTGGGTGTAGTTTTAATTCCTGTGTTGGGGGGAAAAAAAAAAGAGAAACACAAAATTTTTAATTGGTCCCTGGATGGGTGAACTATAGTTCTTGAAGTCTTGTCCTGAGAAAACAGTTTTTCTGTCAAGCACGCGGAATTCCATACACAGCTGTTCCCATCTTGAGCTTTTCTCATCCCAACAATGTCAGGCTGTCTACACAATCCTTAGGTAGTCATCAGATTGAAATTGAGTTGAAAATTTTCCACAGTCACACAGTGCATGAACTTCTTTAGCAACCCAGGGAACTAAGCTCACACCACACTAAATTGGGCCTTTTAAAATATACATGTGAGATAATATTATCTGAGGGAGCATGTTATCTCAAAACAGATACAGGTCAGCTGAGACTCAAGTGCTTAATATAAGGCAAAGAAAGTAAATTAAATTTATATCAAAATTAAACATTAATCTAAATTGAATATTAATTTATTTCTTTTGCCTTGAGTTAAATATTAATTATTTTACTAATGAAACTGTTGTATTAATTTATTTAATCTCTTGGTTAACTATTACCTCACAAGGGTCTTAAATATAGCCTAAATATTGGCTAAACAGACCTCACAATGAGTTATTTCAATACAACATTTTGAATAATTTTATTTTCTTTGAAAGTGAAATCTACAAAATTAAATTAGTTCTGGAATCCGTAGACAGTTTTTTTGGATAAACAAAATCAGGAGCTGAGGCTTAAGCAATCACATCTAAAATACTGAGTGCTTCCTAGACTACTCACTTAAGTAATATAATTTCAGTTAGATACTTGTTGGGCGTCATTGTGCTGGGAACTCAAAGCATTTAAAGGAATCTGGAGTTTGACAGAAGAATCATTCAGCATCAAAACCTCCACGTGCTTTGGAGAAAGCTCTGTGTTACCTTAGGTGTTACCTTATCTTTCAGATTCTCACTATAAAGCATCTGGGAAATTATTTTTTAAAGCACCAAATGAGTAAAAAATTTTGGCTAAGAGCCTGAAACACTACCTCACTTAATGCTAATGGCAAAAAGCTCAACTTCAGTGGAAGCAAGACTTCTAACTCTATACCCATTTCCAGCAAAATATTTCCAGGGCAAAGAAGGTAGATACATAAATGTACAGGTACTAAACACATGATTCAAATAAACAGAAACCCTTAGTCAATATTTCAAAATTCTTACCTTGAGTTTGGACATATATTTTCTTCCTAGCATCTGGCTTTAAAGAGAAGGAAAAGTGAAGTAAGTTTCATAGCTCACCATAAAAGATCTGTTCAATCCTTAAAAAACCACCCAACTAGTGTAACAAAATGCATATTAGCGTAACTTTATTTTGACTGTTAAAAATCAAACCAGACTATTAGAAAAACACATTTTAAGTAACACCAAAAGCCAGTCAGCAATGTAAATTATATGTACTATGACAGAAAAATTATAGCTGGTTTCGAAATCACAGTCTACATTTATCCATAACAGAATTTTTATATACATCAGGCATGAAACAAACCACATTTACCTCTAACCTTTTCAAAAATTGCTGTCCAATATATGTAGACTTGTCTATACAGGAAAACCGGCCAGTAGTAGCTATTGCAAAATATTCCCAAATAAAAACTGCATAAGAAATTATTTTAAAAGAGCTATAGTAAAAAAGGTAATCACTACAATTCCAAAGTTACTCCTGAAGTGCTACTATGCTAGTTAATTAATTTAGGTGATTAAGTAAGCAAGTTCCTATTTCAATATCTTTCTACAACTTCAACCATGAATTTGTAGAATACATTTTTTTCATGAAAACATCAAAATATTCTTGAGATCTTTTCATACTGAAAAAAACCAAACCAAGACAAACCCAAAAAAATCAACAAAACCACTCTCCAGCAAACAAGCAGAGTTTTCAGAGCTTTGTGCTCTCCTTTGTGTTCAGACAATTTCTAGTTTCTCTAAAAGCACTGGTTGCAATGCCTCAAAAAGAATATGCCAAGGAAGGTATAACTGAACTTAAAATGAACTGGAAAAAGGCATGGACAGAAAAGAGATCATAAAAAAATTGAATAGTCATCAACAAGCGGTTCACAGTGGTTTCTGAGAATCAGAGTGAATTAACTAAGTCACAAAAACTACATAAACAGGCAGCAAATCCACACGAATGAGGTGGGGGAAAAAGAACACTGTTTACACTACAGTGAAGGACTAAGGATACTCTATCGACTTTGCCTTTCAAAAGCTGTTAGAACTTTTATGTTCAAAGCATTTAAAAATAAGAAAAATGGTTTAATAGATTATTTCATTACTTAACATTCCTTTGTCCTTCTCTTACCTATGGCTAAGTAGCATTTTAAACTATATTAGATCTTCCAATCCTAAAAAAAAGAAGCCTTGCAAACAATTGAGAGGGCAGGCTGAAGGCCAGCTTCAGAATTTAAACGTGCAGGACAAGTGGGATACCTGAAATTCAGCAGAGGACACTGATGCTGCAAAACAAAAGGTGGAAAAAAGCAAATGGGGCAGAGGGCAGCTTAAGCCAGCCTTGCCTCCAGAGCTGACATACCGTCTAGTTCTGCCTCAAACTCTAGTGAGTAAAGGCTTTTAGTTCCCTAAAATCTCTAAGTTTCAAAAATGAGCTTAAGTTAAGAATCTGGTTTCATGCTCTGCTGGACCTTTAATGGCTTACAGTGAGTAAATATAATCCTGCCAGGGCTCGGAGCATCAAGAAGAAAATAGAAGGAATACTGTGAAACAGGGCATACAGATGATTTCACACTTTATAGATCAATTTTCTTTTATGTTCTTTATTTTAGATGTTCTTGAGGAGAATGGAAAAACGAAATTGAATGCTAATAAAACTGGCTTAGGTAATTCTTATGCACCAGTTTTACAGTATTGAAATAAAACACTGACCGTAAGCACAAGATCTTTCACAGTATTTCAAACTCACTTGGAATACAGATTATTACAAATGCTGTATTATGCACTTCATAATTAAAGGTAATTTATCCAATGTAATAGAAAAGAATTTGATGGAAGATATAGCCTTTGAGCATAGTACAATTGCTTACATGTTCCTAGCTTAAATTCTTAATTGACTGGCTGACTAATAAAGCACACATTAGAGGAATAATGCAGCTCACATTAGTGTGAGTTAGTATGTTAAAAGTGTTAATATTCTGTGACCTAAGAATGGAAAGAGATATTCGTATTCTTCACTGTTAGAAAGTATATGTGTTGCATTTTCTCTTGCCCTTTATAGGAAGATACAGCTGGAGAAGGAACTCAAAACCCCAGCGTTTAAGACACAGTTCAGCAGGTGCTGTTTCACTTGAGGACTTGCCAGACTTGCCCTCAACCCCCTGCCTGCCACAGACCTTCTCCAAAACAAGGAGTGAGTCTCATAGGCCCAAAGCACAAAGGTGTTTAGGTAAAACCAATTACAGTTAAGTACTTAAAAAACATTTGAGGTGCTGACTTCAAAAGGATTTCAAAGTGCAAACTTGTTTCTCCTCCTTCTACTCTGCTACTTTTGTCTTTTTCTTGCATAAGATCCATTGACAGCTGTGCCCTTTCTTATTTACCCATCATGAAGTTCACTGTAGCAACTATTAAAACAGTTATACTTGTAGTGTAAATACCAGCTCCTACGTCTGCTCATGTAGCCTTTTAATGCAAATAGATAAAAAAGCTCAATTCATATTGAAACAAAGTATTGAATATTAAATTGTTCTGCTGTCCAAGCTCCACCTCTAAGTGATTTTTCTCAGGCAAGAGCGTATTAATCATTATCTTATGATGCACATCAAGAACTGAAGAGACACCAAGCAGTTAGTTTCTACTTCTTGCTTTTGTTGTTCAACTTCAGCTGATTTTTCACAGGAGGACATGAGCTAACAACTCACTGTAGCTGGAAGAGGATGGCCCCGCCTTGGTCTTTTTATCCCAGTATGTTGCCCCTTACTGTCTGCCAAATAGTTACTGCTTAACCTGCACTGGCTCTGGTGCTCAGTGAAGCTCTGTGTAATCCAGTGCAAGCCTTTAGTCAACAAGTTAGTTGGAAAGCTAACCTTGTACAGAAAATCAGCTGGGCCATCGAGTGAGCCCTGCTGCCTGGTGTGGAGTTCTTCACAGGTTACCAGTGCAGGCTCACACTATCCAAAAGGACTCCTTGCACTCCAACAACTCGCAGCTCTTTATTGTCTTACTCTGCTCCTCAGAAAACAGCACTGAGGACTGTCTACTTCATGGATTTGTCTCAATTTTCTCCACTGGCAGGCTGCCATCAGCTCAACAATGTAAGGGTGAAAATACTGACCCACCCTATCTTCAAACAGGAGAATCAGACACTAAAAACAATTGCACTGAGTGTCTGAAGGAGACTTACAACAAAGGGAATGCAATGGTATGTACTAAATTAAGAGGAAGAGAACCAACCAGTACTACTGCAAGTTCTTTGCTGACTAAATAATCTCCTTAAAATACATTGCCAAATGTATTTAAACACTATACTACTGTTGGATGAAAATAATTTTATTTGGTATTTTCCCACATATCATTCAACACAGCATATTGAGTTTTATTTTCAGAAAGAGAGATGAGTTTTAAGAAAGTTAAGTGCTATTTATCCGCCACATATCCCTCAAGGCCTGGTCAACAGGGCTGTATACCACATATTGCTGGGCTTAGTATAACTTCAATTTTAGCTCTGTAGTTCACCTTAAGAAGTTCATTCTATTTCCAGAGTTGACAAAACAAATATTTTCAAATCACTCTTCCAAATTCTTTATTGTAAGTAAAGCTGTTTAGTTGAATTTTGGCAACATAAAGTTTATTGAACAATGCAAAAAGAAAAGATATATGCATATGGCATCAGGAGAGACTTGATAACAACAGCAATGATTAGTTTTAGATGTTACAGAGAAGCACTTTCTAAACTGCTGTATACTCTCCTCAAATACTAAACATCTTTTAAATGCCAGATCTATTTGACCTGCTGAAGTACATAAATGTGAAGTGCTTTCTCTGAAAGGAAAAACAGGAATAGAGAATATGAAGATTATTACATTTCTCTAGCATTATTTATAAAACATTTCAGAATAATGCATACTTGATAATACTATAAGCATCATCATGTAAACATACCCACTCTGCTGCTGCCAGTTCCTTCATTTTCATCGTGAAAGCCACGGCAAACCTAGTTAAATGGACAAAAATAGTCAGGATCATCTGCTTAAAGTGTTTAAACATAAAAACTGAAAAGTACTTCAGAAAAAATCTTTATAAGAACAAAGAGCAGAGGCTTATACAAATGATTATAGATGAAAAGACAGAAAGCAGGCTTTCTATTCGTTTTACCAGAAAATACTGGCAAAACAAATGATATCTCTTCAGGCTTTACAACTTAGAGCTCTCACGGAGTGAAAGCAAGGATTTCTTAAAGAGAAAACCCAGATAATGGGAATATCCCTTAGTTTATCTAGATTAATACACACAGCTGCAGCAGTGAGCTAGCATTACCTGTTTCTACATCATTCTGAATTGCAAAAGCCTTTTGCACAACCAGAAGGTCAGTTAGTTTCATCCTGCTGTTATTTGACAACACCCAGTCCCAGTATTCACAACTCACTGCCATTGAGTTTAATTCAAATGAGCAGATGGCTATTTTTTTAAACTTTCCTCTGTGTTCTCTCCTTATTTCTAAGAAGTCAAAGCTGTCAGGGACAAACAGATACCTGAGAGACCAAAATGTTATTCTCCAGGGGAAATATCAGAATTAAATAAACTAAAAAGAAGAAAGATGAATCAGTGACGGGGCTTTAACTCTGGAATCTCACAGATTAAGAACAATCTGTAGCTCTGAATGTTGGGCATCTGCAGTGGAGATGAAATTCGCAGTGCTGAAGTAGACACCAGATATTACTCTGTAATAAATAGCAAAGAACTGGGTGCTCAGAAATGAGATTTACCATAGTCATTGTCTCAGGCAAAGACACTGTTACAGTAGCCAGACACAGTACTTACAGAAGCGCATTTTGCCTGTTCTCTCATTAAGACTTTTCTGTGTTATAAGAAGGGCATTTAAAGAAAAGAACTGTAGAACGGTATATGAACACCCTCTACTTCTCTGTAATGTAAATAAATCATAACGCCAAAGCAAAAAAAAGCATACTTGAATTACTTACTGGTTAGGGTTTTCACCTGGGATGGGGAAGGGAATTCGACTCCCAAGCTTACTTCCACTTTTTCCCTTATGGCTCATCTGGACTTCTACTTATGTGCCTTTGAGAAATGTATGTAGCATACCACTGTTCCACATAACAAAAGAGTTATGTCAGAGGCCACTTAAAAGCAGCATTGATAGGAACAGTTTTCATTTCTGGATGTCTCTACACAGAGAGATTTTAGTCTGATTTCTAAACATACTACATAAAAAAATTACTCTTACTGGGAGCTTGGTGTAATATCAAGAAGTTATATGAGATATTTTTATGCAGAGTTTTCAGAAGAGATCTGAAGAACATGCTGGGCTCTAATGTAGCTTTTAAGTTGTGATGAGATACAAACATACGCTTTGACTGTTCTTAAATGCACCTTTAGTGTTAACTGGAACCACAAATAGGACCATTTATAAAGACTCCAACTCCTATGAAATAGAAATGTTTGAATGAAATAGAAATGTCCAAAATCTGCCCTAGTGAAGCCACATCTGGAGCACTGTGACCAGTTTGGGGCTCCCCAGTTCACGGAGAGAGAACTGCTAGAGAGGGTACAGAAAAGGGCCATGAAAATGATTAAAGGACTAGAACATCTTTCTTGTGAAGGGACCTGAGCAGGGGATCTTACCAACGCTTACAAGTAGAGGGTACAACCTGCGCTAAGTGAACCTGTTCTGGCAGGGGGGCTGGACTAGATGATCTCCAGAGGTCCCTTCCAACCCCCAACATTCTGTCATTCTGTGTAATTCTGTGGTGCTGTGAATACCTCCTTCGTATGAAACATAATGTGTCTGCTCATCAAAATTATTTTTTTAAATTGCTTTTATAGTTATTGAATATAAAATGGAGCTTATAACATACTACACTTATGATTAAGTGTTTCTTTTTCATAGGATTAATGTAATGTTTCTCTCCTGAGCCAACTGCACGACATCTCAATAGCTGGAAATTAAGCACATTGCTAAGTCACAACGAGAACAGTGCGTTTCCATTGGAGACATTATGTTATTATTTGAGGACATGAAATCACAATAATTCACTAGAAGTCACATAAATGTTGAATTATAACTGCTGCTTTTGTTTGTCGAAACAAACCTTATTCCCAAACATTTGTTTTGTAGTATCTGCTTTATGGTACTACTATGAATTTCACATATACAACCTGACAGCTTTAAGGTTATTAAAGCCTTTGCAAAGGTTTGTTTTGTCAAGTTGCACATGTTCCCTTCCCAGTTTTTGCAATTATGCTTTCAATACATCACATTAACAAGCAGAAAAAACTGTTGCTCCTAAGTCTACAAAACACTGTTCAATACAACAAAATACCCTAGAGGAGTACAACTACCATTTAGAGGAATTTGATTTAAAATGAAACATTCATTATAAAGCTAGACAGTGTTCAATACTTTGTTTTATGGAATGTAGTGGTATATTGTACTGGACAAGTAATCTACAATTCATGATACTTTCTGCTTAGAAACCTGCAATCAAGAAAGAAAAAAAATCAATGTTTCTTTTAATAACTATGCAATGAATAATACTAGTGGTAATACTAGAGAAGAGACTCATTCAGAATAACTTCTAGAAAACTGAATTGATTTTCCTGTAGCAGAGAAAATATTATGAATTGCCTAATGTATTTTGAAACATCATAGGAAATCCAAGCTACTAAACTACACTTCAAGTTCCTAACTTAATTGTTATTAAAAAAAAAATCAGTAAAGTAGCTTTTGCATATGCTCTATTTGTGACAGATTGTATTTTAAACACAGAACTGGATCAGAATGACACACTCAGAGATTGATTTTATGTATTTTCATTCTGTACAGTTCTGAAATTTAGTTGACACATTAGATATCTTTCTTCTCTTCAGATCTGTTTAAAGACTAACTTCTGATTATTTGATAACAAAAGTAAACAAGTATATCAATTTTGTCTTGAATGGAGCCTTAAATTGCTTTTCAACTACAAGTCACGCTCAGGCGTGAGAACATGCCCCAATGATTTTTCAATGAGCATGATTAAGCGCTGTCTTTAAAACCTGTTTACTCACCACATTTTACAGGGCACTGCAGACAGAACAGCGTACCCGTGCCAGAGTTAAGTTAGTTAATAATAGCTAGAACATACAGCGGTATTAGCAAAGATAAAACTACAACATATAACCCTGCTGCGGATTCTGTGCCCATTCCCTCATTGCTAACACGGACTCAGATCCATACTGGCACATCTGAACCACTGCAGTTACTTGTCTTAGCTAGAATGCTGCTAGGAACACAGAGAGCATCCTGAGCAAACTCTCCTCAGCCAGGTGTTTAAACTCTCCTAGATGAAGCATGCGAGCAGGATACTGGATTTGGTAAGACACTCCAGATGCTTAAATTCCATCTCACCTTCTACACTTGGGCACCCCTTTGCTCATGCAGAGCTCAGTTCTGGAGCGATGACTTTTCAGAGTACTCAAAGCACCAGCAGCTCAGGCACAGTATAGTTCCCCGAGGCTAAGCGACCTGCTGTAGCAGCTTAACTGCCACCAAAAAGACGTCCTTCTCATATCCTTCCACAAGCTGACTTTTCTTAATAAGTGAGTAGAAAACTAACCCAGGGAAAAAAAAAAAAGAAAAAAAAAGTGCAAATTTTATGCCATTTGCTGAGTTAAACCTGCTCAGAAAGCAGTTCAGTCCTGGCAGCAGGAAGGGCGGATCACACAGCCACAAGCAAGACAAAGGAGGAGCAGAAGAGAGGTAGCAGTACAGCCACGTCAGTGAGCTATTACACCGGCCACACATGAATTGGCAAGCTTAGCTTCCATCTTGACAAGACTTATGCTATTAAACTAGTATCATCCATTGGAAGGTTTACATACATAAAATGCTTAGCTTCCAATAGAAAAGGGCTTATTGGCCCACCATGTGTGTGATCAAACGCTGCTGAAGTCAACAGACCTTTGGATCAAGCAGAAGGAAAGTTCTGAGGATCTTGGAAAAATGCTGTAAAACCTGTTTTGGGTTTCAGTCACTTCCTCTGATTTCCGATCACTTCTTGAACTACATTTGATGACTAAGCTGACACGTCACCAGAGCTTTTCTGGACTTCAAAACACCCTGAAAATACTCCCTTGTCAATTCATCTTAAAAATGGAGAGAATTTGCTAAAAGACTTTTTTCAGTCTTTGCTTCTCTGTTAATGTATCTAGAGGAAGGATCACATTAGCAGCAAAGAAAGAACAAAAGCCCTTTATGCTTGAGTCACCTGCTTTTTAATCAAGCACTCTGTCAACAAGCTAAATGAGAGGCCTCTGAGAAAAGGTTTGATCCTGTGACGCAACAGGACAAATGACTGTTATTTTTTAGTTGTCTTTTCACTTAAGATGAAATTCTGGACACCTTGGTCTATATATGCAGACAGTATTTAATGCACAAAAATATTAGTTCCAACCCAGAAAATTTAACACATATACCAGGATTTAAACAGAGGTTAGAAAACCCCAATGACTTGGAGCAGGATAGTTCTGTACAAATGCGAACTGTATAGATATTGTCGGAGATACTTAGACGTGCACTTTCTTTACCTAAACAGTCTAAAATAATTTTGGTAAGAAATTAAAACTTGATGCATAAAATTGTGTCTGTTACAAGCACATCGAGTAAAACACATCAAGCTGCTACAGTCCACAGTTACATTAACCATCAAAGGCTGTCCTTATATTGTCTACCCATAAAGCAGATGATTCAACAGAGCAATACGCTGCTAAATTCCAGGTTAAGCACTCTTGCTATTGTTCTTCTCATTTCTTTTACCTGCCTTAGAATTTTATATCCTCATCACATGCATAGTTCTATTATTCTAGAAAACAGTTATGATTCAGTAGACAAAGCAGAGGATTAGTTAGCAAGAGCACAGATTTCATTACCTTTTAATTGGATTTGAGTCTTTCTGAAAATTCACAGCCCAAGAGACCAAGTTTCAGCACTAGATTTGCCAACTCTTACACAGATAAATACAATCAAATAATTGTAACAGGAAATATGAAATTCATAGACTGCATATAGACTACATTTTAGGAAGAAACTGTTCTACTTCCACCACTGAATCATAAAATAGTCTGTAGAGATCATAGGAACTTAAAGTAGTCTATCCTTTGCCCGCTGGCCTACACATCTGCCAGTGACTCCAAGGATTTATGGAACAGTTTCTAAAGGATCTGCCATTACAAAACCACAATTTCCTGTCATAAACCTTCCACAGATGCTTTTACCTGGCTTCTCCTAGCACTGCTCCCATTACTCGACGTTTCTCTTCACATTTGATATCTTCATTTACATCTGTCCCGCCAAAGATGATTCCAAAAGGAATGCTGCTACCTACAAAGCAATGACTACAATGAATTGTTGACCGATATATCAGAGAAATGACTAAAAGGGGACATTAAGAGTAAAAAACTATATTGATAATACTGTACCACATACATAAGCAAAACCCTTGGCACTAAAAGTAACTCATACAATAACTATGCTCTTTCACAGCATGTCAGTCTATTGTGCAGTTATGAGATTTTCCTTGCCTTTTCCACGCTTAGTAAAAACAATCAATTACTTGGCACACCATAAAAACAGCACATATATTTTAGATGTTATTCACATTTTAATAAGATGTGGTATTGCAAAGCTTGGTCCCAGGTATTTAGCCTCAGCCACTCATTCACTGTCCCTCACGCATTCCAATAGAGTTGACTGGGCAACTCTCCTGCAAAGTTGGTTACCGAAATTATTATTATTATTTTAATATTGACTTCTGTAGCTGATTTTACTGACATAGAAAATGTAGATGGATTCACACCATTGGAAAAAGTCATCAAATTAAGCAAGGCAGTATATATGAGCCTGCAATAGAACCATTGTTCTGCCTAATTCCAGCGCAAAAGATGGATCTGTGTTTATAATCGGTTATTCCAAGACCTTCTGTGAACACTCCAGTTATGAAAGGTGTTTTATATTGCTTAGAATAGTAAGAGTAGAGGAAACTATGTTGGTTGTGGGACAGTGTGTACAAGATCTTACAACATCCAAACCAACAAAAATCATATATAAAACCAAAATCATATATATCCCAGTGGTGTCTGCACTCTGGTAAAAGCCTAGTTTTTATATGCTGCATCAGAATAAATCCAGATTTGTGTAAGGGTAAAGCCACTAATCCAGGGTAACGTAGCACTTCTACCAGTGGCTACACTTAGACAGACAAGGCAAAAGACCATTTAGATGAAAATTCAAAAGCCAACAGCAGTGCAAGATTCCTTTCTAACAGTATTTCTTTATTTGGAGTCAGGTTATTTTTAGCAACTAACAAGTTACCAGTCCCCTTGTTCACCTTAAACTAATCAAGACAGCAGACAATAGTGTTTAGTGTTGATTATTTCAGCACCGAAATAGATTAAGCGGCCAGTTTTACACCACATTAAGCTAACAAATAACAACCCCATGGTGGCTAAGCAGAACATAGTTTTAAATTCCACATAGTACTATGGTTTTACAAAAGAAACAGTCTCCAGTAAGACAGTTTACTAAACCTCTCATTAAGCTGACCAGTTTCGTGGATTGTGCAGATTTCTGTTAGCTGTAACAGATGAAGCCAAGGTTTCCTTCTGACTGTGAACAAGAATAAGCACCCAGGCTGCATTGTCACTGTACGTCGTGTATCAAGAAAGGTAGAAAATATGCTTTGGTTTTGTCCTTTTTGCTATCGGATGGAAGGTGAGAGGGATGAAGGACTCAGCAGAAAACACCATCCTTGGCACCGCACCAACAAGCAGGGTTCTTGAGGGCGCCGTGTTGATGGAGGTTCCTACTTTTGAGAGATAACTGGCCTTGAATGTCTAAGGTTGTGAAAACTAAGTGACACCTTCCATAGCTAGCCACAGTGTTTTAGGGGGTGGTGGGGAAATGACAGGTTAAATTCAGTGAACTCTCATTATTAAAATTCATATTTAAAATCAAGGAGATAAGGATATCTTAAAGTAAACAGGGAAGAAAATAAATATGTTGATAAAGATAGAAAATATACTATGTGTTTCACAATTTATATTTGACAATTAAGTGAGCTGTAAGATGAGGATTTATTAGAATTGCTAATTTCCTCATTACTAAATGAAAGAACAAACAAAAATCACGCCAGTTGTAATAATTCAGCCTTTCCGAAAACTCACCAGCACAAATGGCTGGGGGACTTCTTAAGTCTGAAAAGTAGCTCAATACAACTTACACTGAGAGCTGATCCAAGTGTCAAATTACATGCCTTTGTACAAGTGAATAGATTTGTACAATGCAAAGGTGATCTCAAAAATGGATATACACTTGCAATTTTAGTAGGTGACAGTGTCTGTAATTTTGAAAGCCAGTGCTTCTAGTGTGTCATTACTGCCAGGCTAAAATTTTGTTCTACATTGCTAGATACAATAGAAAATTTTATTATTTGTCTGATAACATCCTATTGCCTACAGTTTAGCTGGCATGAATGACATCGCAAAGTTATTTCATGTCCAAAAAATCCTGACTCGTTTTTGAGCAGAAAAATCAAATTAGCCTCTCTACTTTCTTCTATCTGACCTCAGCTATACTTAGTCAAGCCATCGTACTCTGAAAGAACACATTTGCTAAATGCATCTTAATGTTAATATGGTGGTCTTATCTTAATGTAGTTAAAGTACTTAATTATAAAATGCACTATGTGCTTTAAAAGTACATTTATTTAGTTTTCTCCTCTCTGGATCAAATCTCCCACAGAGAAAGAGTTCCAGTATTTCTGAACATCTCTTGACGTGGATAAACAGAGTAACTACATTACACGTGACTTTATAAATTTGCAGCCATTTATAACTACTTGTAGTAATTCTCTTCCCTTTCAGCACCTTTTTAAGAGATATTTTTATTTCGAAATAGAAAGGATTACCTTGCAGAAGTCTGCCTCCTTTATAAAGATGAATGGCCAGTGCTGCATCAAACTTGTCTGCAGAGACTAGATTTGCTATTTCAGTTGGACTTTCATACATGAAAGCATCTTTAAGAACGCAGATGTGACCAGCAGCATGTAGATGATTCCTTCATTATTGGAACAAATAGAAAAAGAGAGATACTATTAATAATGTAGGCGTACCAATATATTAAATAAGCTTAATCAACATATTTTTCCTTACTATTTTTTCCTCTGGCATTCATCTTTATACTAAATTTGTTCAAGCAACTATGGAGCTATTTACAAGGTGTTTTTTCTTCCTGGAAAATATTTGTTACCTTCACCACTGTGAAGCGACAGGCACACTGCCAAGCAACATAATCTGCACCCATTTTAACACTCAAGTTTACAAAGTAACAACATCACGTTTGGTAACCAGCAGAAGTGAAGTATGATCAGGATCTTTCCTGACTGAGTTTCAACTTAATATGCTGAAACGACCACTTCTGAATTATGTTAGACCTTGGTCTTAGAGATTCTCAGACCCCTGTTCTGAAGAAAGGTCACCAAGGAAGGAAGTACAAATATGTCCTGCTAATCAGTGCTATTAAAAATACAGAATATGAAAAAAAAATCCCAAACTAAATATAACTGGAGAGTTGAAATTGTATTCTCTTTCTGCTTCATTGTGGCTTTAACTGTTTCTCGTCTTATTTTACCCATTTGTAAAACACGCACAGGGTAAGTGAAGTCTAAGAAACTGATTCAAAGTCTGACAAAGCCAAGAAACTTACTGATTGCAGGGAGATTTACTTTAGCCATTTTGCTGAGCTTTGTTTTAGTCTCCTCTTTTATGCTCTAGGCTCATAATTCCTCCCACTGAAACCAGAATCAGTTATCAATGTTCCAATGACATCAGCCAAAAAACATACAGGAGAAAATCCATGTTTTGATAGAAACTAGCACACAGTATCTGCTGACATGTAGAGTTTACATTTTCAGTGTTATAAAAAGACCACAAGAATGTTTTCTGCTTATTACATATTGTGTATACACTTGATTTATTTCCCATAGTGTATTAATTGTTCTGGCATTAAAATCCTGCTACCTCAATAGCTTCTTGGATAATGTCAGTTCTTTCCTTTCCTGATCATTTCATATCCTCCCAAGGAATGTAATTTTCTGTCCTGCAGAAGTTAGACATTACTGCAGAAAATGGTGCTAAAAACATTATAAAATGTCTTGAGGCCTTGGAAGGAATGTATTAGCACTATATCAGACAGAGCTCCGTTGGCACAGCATATGGTGCTGTATTTCTTCCTTATTCTAAAAAGAAATGCATTTTACTTCTAATTTCCCTATTTGAAACAAGACCAATAAATTACAATAAGTACTAATAAATAATAAAACACAGCCAGATTGTAAGTTCCTTATTTACACTGTTGAGCAATTATTTACATCAGTTGTCCCATGAACTTGTTCCAAGTACCTCCTTGCCTTTTGAGAGAGACTCTCCATTTATATCTAAATAACGATGCCCAAATCTCATAGCTATGGAGAGAAAAATCTCTCAGGCAAATACCGGGGATGCTCGTGCATGCATTTCGTAACTTCACAGGTGCTCATTAAACAGTCTAAAAGAATTTTTTCCCCCATCAATATTCCAATTACCATAAATCACTATCATGTACCAGCAATATGTTTGCATATTACAATTAATTTGAAAATAACTCTCTCGGGACATCAGGAATCAAGGAATTCAGCTAGGAATTCCAATCTAATGCATCTGGGGGTTTGAAATATATGAGGAATTAATACCTTTTTCTTTCCTCCAGTTTCCACAGCTCCAAAGCTCACAGCTGAATGACAGCTGTTCCCACAGTAAGTACAGGGGGACTCCGTCACGTGTTTCAAGGCTCAGAAATTGTGGATTACCTGTACTACTTCAATTTTTTTTTCTACACATAATGACTCAGGAGCATGTAAAAAATTTGCATGTATCTTAAGAAGGAAAAATTATCAAATTATTCCCAGAATAATTTGAATTCCCAGGTGTAAAGAGGCCTGAATCCCACAAACATACTATGGAGTCCCATATCATTAGTCACAGGCTTGCAGATCATGCTTGTATGGAAATACCTGTGCACAGTTATGGGGTAGCATTTAAGCGTTGAAATTTACAGTGATATTTTCATATTTTCTAAATGATTTTTCATCTTTATAACAACAAAAAAAAGCAGACTATGATTTTCACACATGTTGTTATGAAGGAACATGATAAAAGGGTGCTGCAGAGCTATTGCAGGAGAATTTTTCTGAAGGCTGATCTGTCTCTGAAGTCACAGATGTCCCTGAATTAAGCCAAGACAGAAGAGATACATTGACCGTATCTTTTCTTCTCTAGCAACTGTGTATTCACATTATTTTGCCATTTCATAAACTAATACTTTCTGAATGAAACCCAAAAATGAACACCTCTCCTGCTGTCTGTGAATCTCACACTGACTATGCTAAATCCCAAGGCTACATTTGCTCCCTATCACAGTTTTGTACTGGTACTTTCCAAGAGTCTTAACAGCCAGTGATTATTGCTTGGATCTAGAACTGGCCTCGCTCTGCCTTATCTTTCCCTTCTACCGAAACTCTCATGAAAGCCAGTGCCACTACGCAGGGAGAATATTTCTAAAATGGAGTTTGGCTGTCAGATTCCAGATTTTGGGTGTTTTGCTGGGAAAAACTTCAGTCATCCACTAAGTTTAAAACATCATTTCTAAGAGTACTTTATACTAGTCACTGCTTACACTGTGATATTTATGCATATCTGAATATTGGACTAAATAGTTCCCAGCTAGTGTTCAGGGAATTGATCTTTTTAAAAAAACGTGTCTATACTCTTTGAGGCATGTAAGTGAAACTTTTGTGACTGCTCTGCATCTATACTGCATGCAGCAATATATTGCTAAAAGGTACAACCCTCTTCTGACACACTTTCACTCTATTAAAGCTTTCTTTAGAAAAACATTTTTCTCTAACACAACTATGAAATACCAGATGATGTTTTACAATGTTCTATTTTTTATTTCCTACATTACTGATCACTACTTTTCCACTTATCCTGACTAGTAGTTTTCCATCATTCAGCTCGAATCTGCAGTTCACAGGTTTTCATATAGAGGAACATTTTTACAGTTCCAAACACAGCACGGCTGAAGCTAAGACACAGGTGAGTTAAAAGTATGCTTACTTCTAAAATATTATCAGTTTGAAACTTGCTTTATTTTCTGTGATGCCTTCCTCCCAAAAACATGTATGTCTTCATTTTCAACGATATTATTTCAACAGAATTACTTGCAGACAAAGGATGTTTGGTCTCCAAAGAGCTCCTGGTAGGTAGACACACTGACACTTCTTGAACAGCACAAAGTAGGCTTCATCAAAAAATATTATTTCTTACTATTCTGTAAAGCACCTATGCATCAACTACTATTAAATCTATACAGAGCAATTCAAAGCTTATTAAGTGAGCAGAGTTACATCCACTGTCTTTTCTGAAACTCGACCAGAGCTGAACACTCACAATTCCCACTGAAGTTCATCAAATTACAAGAGTTGAAAACCTGCTTGACCTTCTCTGTTTTCTTTGTAAGTTACCTGATTTTTTTCATACTTGTTAAAGCAAAGTATTCTTCATTTTATTTCTCTCTTAAAAGTCTCCTTTAAACAACACAGACAAGTTGTGTTGGCATGAATGAAATATGGATAAAATCCAGTGTGAATCACAACAGAAATTTAAAAAGTGAGCAAAAATTGGGAGAGAATCCTTCTTTCTCTATGTTCTGAAGTCAGTAACTGTCCTTTGGAGGGAGAAAACAACTCTACAAAGTTTAATCCTGCCTTATAAACAGGTCTAGCCGCGCACAACATTTTGGGATGCAGCATACGTGAAGCGCGAGCCATGTAAACGATTGCATCTCCGTTCCAAAGGCGGAGGCTGAACGCCTGCCTTGCAGCTCTCCTGCTCTGCGAAAGGCTGCACCAACAGCAGCAGGAACTTACCAGCACCCATGCAAACAGACGGAGGGAGCTAAAAGACCTCTTGCAATCTACTGCGACGAGAAGAGGATCTTCTGCTGTATGAGTGCTCTTCTGTGTGACTTTAGTGGCAGCAGACAGGGTAAAAAGAAACAGAAGAAAAGTTGGGGCTCTGAATTACTCCGCTAAATGTCTAAGCTGAAAAACAGCTGTGAAGAGGAATGATACGCATTACTGAATTTGTGTGTTTAATTCTCTTGCAGCTGATTACCTGCAGATTTACAGAATAGCTATTTCAAGTGTCCCATTTGAAATGAGGACTGAAACAACCTCTCCATCTCCAAGATATTTCCATATTGACAAAATACTTAATCTAAATCTTCCTAATTAACCAATTAATTCAAGATTTCTTTTCCTCCTTACTACCAAGTAATAAAAGCTGAAGAGAACATTTCAAGAGGCAGAGAAGATTCATTTATTTTCTTTCCTAACACCTTCTTTGACTTAATTTCTAAGGCTGAAGAATGGCAGCCTAACCAAAGACTTTTCTTTTTTATTCTCTACTCATTGCTCATATTTTTTAAGGTGATTAAAGATTATGCACACCAGTACAAATAAAGCCCATAGCACATTCATTACATCACTTGTTTTAGCAAGCTGATTTCTAGCCAAATTAGATTCTGGTATATTTGTCACCAGTTACTTTAAACTCAGGAAATTAATATCTTATTTATGAAAAGACAAAGCAGTTATAGGAACAGCTGTAATATCATAAACATACTATACCCACTGATATTAAGCCATAAAATTAATCTATGCTGGCAAATGTCCATCCTGGAGACAATTTCATTGTTTCATTTATACTTAACCAAAAGTTGCCACCGTTCAATATCTAAAAAAAGACTGAACAAATAAATCTATAAGCATGAATGCAGATACAACTGAAGCCAAATATTAATTGGAATATATATTTTCTATATATTAACAAGTACGCTACAAAGGTTACCATATGCACTTAAACTCAGGTATGGCAGATTAGCGTGAGAAGTGATATGCCCAAGCCTTTGGCCACACGTAGATTTTTTCCTAAATAGGCTCGTTTATATTATTACTACAAAGAACATTTATAACAACTGACTACAATGTAAGTTTTTGACTTTCAAACACTATTTCTGTTAGAAACCTTTATCCACCTTTATCATGAATGTGAATTAAATTGACGTTTCTATTAAGTGCTTTCTGTTTGAAGGTCTACGTGCACAAGAGAACAGCATCTGCATTGTTCAAGGCACGCCTGCAAAGCAATGGGATACTAAAGCAAGTCAGTGTGTTCTACACAGGTCACTGCAGATGTGTTCACATAGCTGCAAATGATTGCGTTAACACGGTAATATGTTAAACCATCTGTCAACTGAGCTGTTGCATCTCACCAAGTTTCTGTTCTCTTTCATGCTAAAACATGAGCTTAGGCCACTACGCACGAGTCCCAGCTGGAGAAGGCAAACGAACATTGCTGGGTACCACGACTCACCTTGCTAGACCCCTGTGCCTTCATGCAATGAGTTCACAAGAGAATTATCAATCTCAGTTTAGTTAAAAGACAATCTGAAATAATACGTGGATGTTTGTTTGGCCGGTGTACTCTGGGTTAGTTTAACTGGAAACAACACAAAATCTTTCCTACTAGATTATCTCTGAGCAGCTCCACAGTCTCAATGTTTGCCTGACCCTCCTCAAGTGGAAGATAAAGGTAAGTGAATATCTAATTTGCAAAGATAGAAGAAATAATCTTATGGAGGAAGAATGAGCGCTCATGTTCCCAAGAACAGCAGAAGGCTATCCTAAAAGACTTACCCTACGAAAAACAACTGAACTGTGGATGACTTTTTAACAGATAAGAAGCAACCAAGGCCTTACTTCAGGCCTCAAGAGGACAAAACCATTTGAAAATTGCCCTCAGAAATGCTGTGAGCCCCATCCTTTTTGCTCATGCCATAGAGAAAAGTTACGCGGGGATGTGAAGGATATTTTTGCAGCTCTGTTAGTTCGAATAGTGTCAGAGCACCGCGGCGCACGTCCACAACCCCC